GGAATGTCCGCATCAATGAATGACCTTGGACTCGATACTAGTCTAAATGGCTTGAAATATACCTATTGTTTTTGTAGAGTTTGTACATCACAGTGATTAATTAGGATATGTACGAATACCTATGGTGTTTTGGCGTTTTTTGACTAGCACTCCTTTATTGCTTGATTGATAAACATTCTATATTTAAGGATGTACGGAAGCTTTTTAAGCAAAAACTACTGAAAGAGAGATGGAATTTGACACTAAGATTTAGCTTTTTCACATAGCCGTTACTAAAGTCGCATAAATCAATTGGTCCACGTGTTAGTGACAATTTCAGTACACGAGTCTTCCCACACAAGGAGGAACTGAGCCATCAGGTATGTCATCACCGGCGCTTCTTTGTGGAGCGCCACAACAGCTGCTAGTTCACTTGAGTCATTCATTTATTCTAGTTCAAGTTAATGGTTACGAATGTAGAATGGCGTGGATATGAGTAGAAATCTTCCAAAACTATTTGCAATTATCCAGATATGGGTAAAACATTCTCAAAAATGTCTGTAACCTAACTTACGGGACTACGGGATTATGACAAAAGTGAACGTCTTCTTTACATCCAACTTAGGAGTGCAAACGAACAGACTGATTACCTGATGGTAAGCAATCAGTGCCGCACATGGACAACTGCAACGACGGAGGCATTACGAGTGCGTTGCCGATTTGGGAATTAGGGGTTTGGAGATTTTGGGATTGGGGGAGGGGAAAATATTTCATATTGTTTAGGTTGTTGAAGTTAGCTACGATCGTGGCATGCCAAGTTACACCTACAAGCTGTTTATGGCTGACTATCAAGGTTATTGTGCTAATCATAACTATTATTGTTTACTGCAAATGTCAACTGCGCCGATTGTTAGACGAACTTGTTGTGTCTGGGTAACATTATACGAATGCTTATAGTTTTTATTGTATTTTCAAGCATTATTGTAATGACGCAACACAACGATATTGCTTCTATTTGAAGGAAAAAAAGTGCTGCAGAGCCTTGATACCGCATGCGTAACACTAGCGCATTGAACTGTATCGTGTGAAATTGATGATTTCCCAAAAATTAAGGACATGAAGCGTGGGCCTACGAGATTGCTACACACATGTATCAACAGTTTTTTTTTTGATCTGGGACATTAAAGAAGGGTACATTACGGAGCCATACGTCGGCACGAATGGCCCCGCCTCAGAGGAAAACGGCGTGCGTGATTTAACCACAGCGTTGTGTTTCGCCGTGTGAGTTTACCGGTGGCCCGAATCTTCCCCTACACCCCAATCCTTGAATCCCAAATTTTCTTATCACCGTAATGCCGACAACTCACTTGCAACTGGCAACTTCTCTGTTCTTGCAGCGTTCACGGGCGGCGCCGATTGCTTACCATCAGGTAATCCTTGTACTTGTATGCCAACGTATCACATAAAAATAAACAGAGCTTTTGTGTGTTAGCGACTGCCAGACTCTTACTGAATATAAACTACGTTAGCCTTTCTTATCACACGAAGACACGGAAAACCTCGCTGGAGGTAGCTTCTTCAGTAAGCACAGTACTCGATTCACACACAATTAACCGTTCATTGCTGTGACATGTGAGAACTGCCGACAAGGGAAACAAGGCACGAACATCAACAAAGAGTCCACATACCATGTAGTTTGTAAGCGATGAGCGTGCAAAAAGGTTTTTATTGTGAGAGGAAAATTATCAAATTACTTCCTACTACTGGCCAGGGTAAGGCGAGAGGGAGTGCCAGACTCTTACTAAACTCAAAACCCCCCGGTCTTTCTTTTCTTCTAAGCCTAATCCCGGCAGAAAATCAAACACTGGCAACTATATTCTAATATTGACACTATGTGCAACCTGCCCATAACGAATTACCTACATACGCAAAGATAACACTAATATTCAATGTTAAATGTAAAACAATGGAGCATCGTCGTAATTACTTGAGCAATTGTATATATTGTAATATTGTTCTTATACATAGAAATAATATTTACGCCACACTTGTGTAAGTACAACAGAGCGGGCCGAGTTAGCACCAACCATTCTCAAGGTGACCTTTGCAATTTTTTTTATGTAATAGGTCGGCAAACTAGCAGTCGCATTACCTGATGGTGAGCAATCAGCACCACCCATGGACAACCGCAACAACAGAGAAGTTACAAGTGCGTTGCCGACCTTTTGGAGAATAAGGATTTGGAGATCATTCACACGCCGAAACACTCACAATGCTGTAGTTGGTTCACGCCGGTTTTCTGTGAGGCCGTAGTATCACTCCAGCCAAGCTGACCCGTTCGTGTCAAAGCATTGCTCCCCCACACTTTTCCTAATGTTGCAAAGATACCATATTGAGGTACTTCTGTGTGTCTGATAGCGACAACTTGGTAAATGCGAACTGGACTAGGCTAAACAAAGATGATAAATTGGTCAAATAATATAAATATATATCTTAAGTATACCTTTTTATCTTAGTTTTTAGCAGATTTTAATAACAAAACAGCAGTAGTTGACTGCTAAACAGAAAGTTTTACCACAACAATAAAATATTTATTATGACCTCAACTATACATATTTTGAAGAGTCATACAACCTTATATATGAACAATTAACTTGAATCAAAGTTAATGATCAACCTTAATCTAGATTGTATAAGGCTACAGAATTAGCAACATACATATATGTATAATATTTATGTACAATAAAAAATTGTGCACTAAATATACATACTAGGAGTTCATGCATTATTTGCTTAATTAATACTTCATGCACAAAAAAATATTGCACATAAGATGAATTTAATGCCATGGGTCTTCTTTATTAATCAAAATCTTTGGGTGATGCAGAGATATGCATAAGGTGAGGTGAAACATTAATCAGGAAGAAACAAAATTAGTGTGGGCTACAATTAACAATAATAAACAAAGAGAGGTATCAAAATCCATTCAGCTATTTACAAGTTAATCACTGACAAATATACCTATAAACATAAACTAATATTATAAAGAGGTAAAATTTGTAAGTTTGTATGTAGGGGGTAATCTTTGGAACCACTGGTTGGATTTCCAAAATTCTTTCACTGATAGATAGCTACAATGTTCCTGAGTGCTATAGGCAATAAAACATCACGCTTCGAGTAAATGGAGTCGAGCAGCGGGTGAAACCGCGTGAGAGTAGCTAGTATAAAATATTTAGGTGAAATTGAGAACCTGATCAATTTTTTTACAATATCTTGACAGGAGTGATGACATGTACAAGTGTGATGATCATCATCAGTGTCTTTACTGACATGATCACCTTGTTATCAGAGCCCGCACTCTCTACACAGATAACCACGGCTACTGCACTGTGTCTGATAAACATCATTCACTCACCAATACACTTGGTGACCTTCTGTAATCTTATCTATGTGGTTAAGATGTTATACAAGTTATATTACTTCCTTATTTAGCTGTGTGGTGTCAAGTGCTAGCTTTCTTTTAGATTCTACACTGACTGATGATGCAGTATTACATAAAACATATTGTTACCAATTAGTATTATGTTAATGGGCTGATGTTTGTTCACTATCACTCCTTATGGTGAGCACTAATAAGACTTACAATAACGCACACCAACCCATAAGCAACCTATGGCTTCAGCCCTTGAAAACACCCAAGTATATTATGTATACACTTTGGAGACACAGATTCTGGCAAACAATACCACTCCTTAGTGGTTCTGATCAAAAACTTATTAATTCAGACTTATTTATTTATATATTATTCATATGTATCACACAAACAGTAAATAAATAGGAATACAAATACATAAAACAGAGTAACATAGGTACTGATTTAATTCATCAAAATCTGTCATGTAGTTTTTAAGATCTAAGCATATAGAGGGACAGACAGTGGAAAGCAACTTAGTTTAGTACAATGTAGTGATATTGATAATCATGCATCAGATCATCAAATTATTCCCTACTATGAAAGGACAGTACAATTAAATAAGTAATAAATAAATGTTTCTTTTGAAGAAACTAGCTTTTCATTAAACCTTTACCTAAACTGATTAGTTGAGATGATTGAACAGGGATTATTTAGGGATTACATAACTATTTTTTATTTGATAACTTGACATAATGGATATTTAATTTTATAGAAGTATACACATATTTATCACTCCATTTTTCACCTGTAGTAACGTCTGTCACCTGACTAATATGCTTATATAAAAATTAATAGTTTTCCAATAGGAACATTTTGGTATAACAATATTCTAATGAGATTTCAGTTGGATATGGGCTACTATCTTTAATCAATGTGTTTGTAATATATAGTGGCCTAGATATACTTGTATATGATCTGATAACAATAAGATATAAGTAGTTATTGCTATATAATAGTTTTATTGATAAATGAGTATGCATACTTTTTTGAGTCAGCCAACATGACCATAAACTTATAATGCCCTGCTTATCTATGTTATAGGTTGATCAATAATCATTCAGTGGATTACTGATAATGGTTCTGCAAGGGTTAAAAGTGGAATGGCTTCAGTAAACAATAAGCTACTTAACATCTGAATGAGTTTAGCCCACAGTGTAGCACACACAGTGAACACAATGAATGCTATTCTCACAGATACTGTACAGACATAGCTCCATTAATGTGCAATTAAAGTGATTAATAGAACATAATCTCATGCTCTATGGACCAGATACAAATGTTCATAAAAGTGAAAGACCAATAATGCTCAGCTGCTCCAATGAAAACATGATAAACCTGAGACCATGAACTGCACGTTAAACCAAACAAATACGTTTACGTTCCGCCTCCGTGCGCTGCACTGCCTGCGATTTCACATTACGACAAACCACGACGGACGGACGCCGAGACTAGGCCGTTGAACATTTTAATTTTCGAATGCTCCTTTGTCCGCGCCGCGGCCGGCCAGTGCGGCACTGCGGTTGTACACCCTGACTCATGTACTCACCAGCAGTTTAGCTTCTTGATCGCCGTGAGGTCCGACTGCTTGGAGCGCGCGATCACCATTTCTTCAGTGAGACGAGCCATGTTCCCGCACTACACTGACACAGGTGTTACAACAATAAAACTACTAACAAACTAACAGAGGTTTAGTATTCACGGCGAACTTTGCGCGGAGTACATTGTGGCGGAACACGCGACGAGAACGCGCTCCGAGCGCGGCCAAATAACTGAAAACAATAAGCGAGCGATGCGATCTCGCACGATGATTCCGCTCACTTGACGTTTGTTGGCGGTCGCCTTAATTACTGTAGACGTTTCCACTGACTCACGACGGTAAATTAACAGCTGATGTGTTATTAATCAAGGGATGTCTACTGAAATTTAAATTTTAAAACACCCTTCTTTTAAACTAATAATTTATCATGTAGTCTAGTCAAATAACTGAAAATCACATAAAAGTATCCATAAAATTTAATCCATTAAAATGAAAACAATCTTATATCGCGCAAGAAAATTCGGAAAATGTGATTTTCCTCCTGTCATTATTGATATTATCAGTGAGTGACAGTTTCTGATCAAACAATGGAAACAAAACCGGAAGGAAACGTCACTTTGTTTATTAGTTTTTTTTATAATTTTCTATAGGAGATATAGAGTGAAATTATATTTAATAAATGATAATTAATCTCAAATAAGAATATCTGCAAATAGATAGAAATCAATTCGAATGGAAATATTATTATTTTAGTTTTTAACTGTCAGTAGTGGAATATTTCATTTCGTCAGACGTCAGAATGACAGTGACTGTTGAATTTGATAGTGACGTTTCGACGTCAACACTGTCAAAACAGAACTGGGGGTTGTCGTACGGACTTGTGGATTAGTTTACAAAAAGCTCTGAAAAAGTGATTTAAATATGGATTCTAACGATATACTAGATGACAAGGATAGTGGGCCGGAGGTACAGATCAATTTCCCAAGTTCAGTGATGGCCCGCATAGAAGAAATGATGGGAGGAACGGAGCAGTTCGATAGTGCCGAAGTAAGTTTAGGATTTACCTTTATAAAATTATAAATTATGTGGTTTTCTTACGTATTTTGGACTAATTGTATGTTATTATGACCATGCCACCTTATCAGCACTTTCAGTATTCAGGTATCAATTCGTTGTTGTTCGCAATTTCATTAAAAAAAACTTGTTTCTGTATTGTAACTCAAAACTTTGTAAGATTGTCTAGCTAACCAGTAAAGTAGTAAGACTAAATAAGGAGTGTGAATGTCACTGCACCTGTAATTTAACTGCACTTAAACTGGATAGTTACATTGCTATTTTCTTTTCAATATGAAGTATCACTGTTAGAATACTGTGTAACAACCACTTTTGAAAATGACTCTGAAGTGTTAATGACCCTTCTAGTATAGAACTCTAGGAAAAGTGTATTTTTTTTTACTGGCTTGAGATCTATAAACTTGAGCACTGTTGGTGTTGTGTGCATATAAAAAATTGAAAGTTTCATTCGGGATATTGTCTGCTATATGTCTGTTGTATTGCGTCTTTATATAATCATAATATTATTGTTTCAAACTCAACCTATACCTAAACTAATCTTTATTTTATTATAAGTATTTTGCTGTTTATTTGGTTTGTTGATTGATCTTTCGGAAATCGGTAGGTAGACAATATGTAAAGTAGGTTTCAGAACTGGTTTAGCTTGAATACGGTAGTTTCCAACTAGTCAAATTCAATACTTACTTTTAACCAAATTTCAAAAACAAATACTATTCTATGAAATTAGTTAGCAATTACACAAATCATCATATTTTAGAGACAAATAGCTTAGTAATTTCTTAAAAATTATCTAAAGAATATAAAAAATATCAATAGATCAATGAATAAAAGTATGTTAAGTATTTAATATCATATTGTATTGAAACATTGCCTAATCAGTTCATGAATCCTTCACTTCAACTTTCTTGTCATTTACAAGTACAATAATTCTTTGTGGTGTACATTCACAGTTTGACGCAGTAGCATACATCAACCGGGTATTCCCGACCGAGCAGTCTCTATCGGGCGTTGAGAGTGCGGCGGCGCGCTGCGAGTTCCACCTCGCGGGAGTAGAGCACGACATCCGCCGCCTGGTGAGGGCGCAGGCCGAGCAGAGGGACGCCGGGCAACAGGCGCTGTTGGAAGCACAGCGGTGTATTGGGGAGCTGGCACTACAGGTCATATATTACAACAATAATAGTATTTCTTGATGGGCTCGAGATTGGAGTAACGCCGCGGGCCTCTTACCAACCTTAGTACTCAAACCACTATCCATAAATCCCTATAATAACCCACAAAAAACCGGTAACGCCGTAAATGCCGCCGACGAAACCTGTATAGACTCATTTGATACTACGAGTGCCCATATGCTTACCATCATGTAAACCGTCGGCTCGTTTGCCGACCTTAAGACAAAAAAAGTTCACATTTATATAAAATGTGAACTTTGCAGGTAGCAGACATAAACAAGAAGGCAGAGCGCAGCGAGAGCATGGTGCGGGAGATCACTTCAGAGATCAAGCAGCTGGACTGCGCCAAGTCGAACCTGACGGCCGCCATCACGGCGCTGAACCACCTGCACATGCTGGTGGGCGGCGTCGACACGCTGCGCGCCATGACCACCAGCCGCCAGTACAAGGAGATCGTGCTGCCCATGCAGGCCATCATGGAGGTATACAGTTACACAGCTTATTTCACCACATTATTTAGATTCGCAAAAATACAATAGAGTTTTGTTTGTACTCCTTGATTCAGATGATAAGATGAATGAGTAATTTTTATCCTTAGCGACTATAAGTATAGCGAGGTTTTCCAGCTTTTATAAATTGCAAATTTCAATTGTTAAATTGTGAAAAATTAGTTGTTTTGACTTTTATAAAAAAAAAATATCCATGTTTAATAAATATGTTTTTTTTAATTATTATGCTCTTCGACGTAAAAACATTATGATGTCATGTGTTGCGATCTCAAACAAAATTCATAGACAAGTATCGTTATAGAAATTTCAATAAAGGTATTGAATTTGACCAGTTGGAATTGGAAACTACCGGATTGGCATATTCCTTAACATTATTTACATTTGTTGGCCGTGCAGGTGTTGCAACACTTCGAGTGTTACCGCGAGATCCGCGAGCTGAGCGTGCTCCGCGACCAGGTCACCGCCATACGCGCGCAGCTCGCCACGCAGATACTGCAGGACTTCAAGGACGCCTTCACTGGTACTTGCATACATACAGTCACCAGTGACACACGCCGACACTAATGACACGAGTGACACAGATTGACACCATTGACACTACTGACATAGTATGACACTATTAACACAAACACCATCAGCCTATAAGTGCCCACTGCTGAGCAAAGGCCTCTTCTCACATGTAGAAGGTTCGAGCATTAATCATCACGCTTGCTCAAGGTGGATTGGAGACTTGAAGCTTTTAATTGAAATTATAAGTCGAGGTTCTCTTACGATGTTATTGTTTACCTTCACCGTATGTCAGTGGTGTCTAAACAATCATAGAAAGTAAATATAACTTGGATAAAGTTACATTGGTGCATGCCAGGTTTTGGGCCCGCTTCTTCATGCATGAGAAACGGGCCTTAACCTCCACGACAGAAATAGACCACTGTAGGTTTGCCACCATTTTTGAGTAGATAGGCATCAAAAATTTTGCTTTATGTGTCCGTCTGTCCTCTAGTGAAGCTATTTGCTCGTTCCAAAGTGTAGATTCCGATGGAGAAGGACGAGCAAGAAACTCCATGGTTACTCTTTTTCAATCAGTTTCACAATTCATTCTTGGCACATCATTTAGTCCCTGTACAGTGTAGTCGTATGTACGCTCCAGTAACCTGCCCTGCACGATGTTACAGCGGGCAGTAAGAGCGGAGTGTCGCACCGCACTCTGTCGGAGGCCTGCGCCGTCGTCGACATACTGGAGCCCAAGGTCAAGAACGATCTGCTCAAGTGGTTCATCAACATGCAGCTACAGGTACTATCGGGGGGTTACAGTATATTTACATTTCAGTATTTTTTTATGTGATACTTGGTCAAACGAGCAGACGGATCATCTAATACCAACCTTTTAGGGATTAGGAATTTTGAGATTTTGGGAATGAGGAGGGATTGAAGGAGAGGGAAGATTGGGCCTCCAGTAACCTCACTTACACGGCGAAACACAACACTGTGGTTGTTTCTCGCCGGTTTTCTGTGAGGCCGTGGTATCACTCCGGTCGAGCCGACCCATTCGTGCCGAAGCTTGGCTCTCCCGCGCTTAAAAGTTAAGTGTGGAAGAACCAAGCTTTCGAATGTTTTTGGCTGCATGGTTGGCGCGGCGGTTGGGCAACTGGCTGGTTGTTCGATTCCAACTCGGGACAACTTTTTTGATAGGGTTTGGGTGTGATGTGTATGTGAAATTGTATGTTTGTAAACACCGTGGGTACACTATGACACAGGAGACAATTCTAAAGAAAAGCTTCGGCACGAATGTGTCGACTCGACTGGAGTAGTACGATGGCCTCACAGAAAACTGGCGTGAAACAACAAAAGCGTTTTTTTTTCAGTGTGATTAGGTTACCGAAGACCCAATCCTTCCCTCGCCTCATCCAAGACATTCCACACATTCCAATCCAGACATTTTCTAAACCTAAATCCCTAATAACCGAACAAAAGGTTGGCTACGCAGACCACTAACCATTAGGAGATCCGTCTGCTCGTGCTTACTACACACAAAAAAACTTGAGTTATCCATTGATCAACCCTGTGGATCGTAGCAATAAGTTATTGCACCTTAAATGAGCCATTACCAACCCCTCCCCCCCTGGTTCCAGGAGTACGAGCACCTGTTCTCATGCGAGCAGGAGTACGCGTGGGTGTCGCACGTGGAGCGCCGCTACGCCTGGCTCAAGCGACATCTGCTCGCCTTCGAGGAGTCCCTCGCCGCCCTCTTCCCTCACTCCTGGAGGCTTAGCGAGAGGATCGCACAGCAGTTCTGTCAGGTTAGTCGTTACGTAGTCTGAAATGGTTTTATGTGTTACTATTGTCAAAGAGTGACAGTCTGACACTAATGAGACGGCGTTGCACATGCTGACACTAATGACATCTGAAACGTAGTCTGTCTGTGACATAGTTCACGACCTGTGCAACCAGGTCAAACCTTCAAGCCTTCCGAAGTATTTAAATAATTATTTTTCGTGTTAATTTATCAAACACACTATCGCTATATTTAAAGCTCCTCTCTTTTATTCACAGCAATGACACTGACAATAATATTGTTAATAGCGCCATCTATTAATAACAAAGTGTAAACCTGAACTGTTTTATCCACAGAAAATTCTTTTGTATACCCGTTTTATAATTTTATGCTGGTAAATTGAAACGCGAGTTTTAAAGACGTAGTCTGACACGCAATGACTCGCAATGACCCAGTCTGTGAGTATGTCAATAATGTGTGTACACCGACCAGATGACATGTACTGCGCTGGGCGGTCTGCTGGCGTCGCGGCGCAGCGAGCTGGACGTCAAGCTGTTGCTGTACGCTATACAGAAGACGTACAACTTCGAGCTATTGCTGCACAAGCGGTTCACAGGTACACACTGCTCTTTACTGTTCTAACTTACTCAAATTATAATTTCAATGATTGTTCAGGCGTAAACGCCTGTTCGAAATACGTAGCAATAAGTTGTGAAACACTTCATTATTAAAATTTGTGTAGTGACCTACCCTATCTATCTAACCTAATCTATTTTCTCAATTATGTTCTTCATCTGTCTATCTTTGTTAGATTCTTAAATTCTAAACTATTTCCATTATTATTATATACATATTATTTACTCTTAAAAATACTTAAAACTAAATACTTATTCACATATAAAAACCATAAATTAATTCTATCAATATTTACAATTTGTATTATATAAGTTAAATATTATTTTCTGTACAAAACTACTTTTCTTATTAGTAGATAGTTTATCAATGTATGACGCGCTCAGGTACTCGTGCGCCGACTCGGCGACCGGTCCGCCCGGTACGTCACAGCCGCGCGAGCGAGACCGCGCTATATTGATCTTGCGCTCACGCACTGCACTACTGCACTGTGCTGCGTCACGCAATGACCACACAGTTCTAGTTAGCTTTTCGTTCGAGCTATCGCGCTAACCACCGTGCTTTCTAAGTCTAGCTTTCTTAGTGCCGCTAGTGCTAGTATTAACAGTAGACTGTCTGTAAATGTGCTTGTGCTATTTTTCACTCCTTCTTTCTGCTTTCTTCGTATGTGTATCTGAACTGTACGTGTATTCTGTGTGCAATAAACTTTCATACTTTCTGTTGTGCACCCTGGACGCTTTATTTCTTCGCCTTCTTACAATCACCGTACCCTACACACATCCCTACAGTGGTGACCCCGAAAGAACACGGGAATGACGAGCACCTACAAGCCGGAGGTCGACGACGTGGCGGAATCATGCCGGGTAGGCGTGAGAGTACCGCCGTTCTACCCCGACAAGCCAGCGCTGTGGTTTTCGCAGTTGGACTCCCAATTCGCGCTGTCCAAAATAACAACCGACGAGACGAAATATTATTACGTCACCGGTTACCTCGACCCTAAGTACGCCGACGTAGTAGAAGATATCATAACCAACCCTCCTGATACCGGCAAGTACGAGAAGCTGAAGTGCGAGCTCGTCAGAAGGCTGTCCGTGACGCGTGAGGAGAAGGTGAAACAACTCCTCATGCACGAAGAACTTGGCGACAGGAAGCCGTCACTATTTTATCGGCACCTCCTCAACCTCGCTGGTCCAGATGTACCAGAGGAGTTCCTACGAGCAGTTTGGACAAGCCGACTACCGCCATACACGCAGACCATAGTGGCGTCACAGTCAAAGATGCCCATGGTCGACGTGGCCGACCTAGCGGACCGCATAACTGCCATCACTGGCACCCCGGCGCAGGTGGCATCAACATCGGCGGCACCACCAGCATCATCGAGTGCCCTCGGCGGTCTACACGCCGAAATCGCCGCGCTCCATAGGCAGATGGAGTCGATGGCGCTCAAGATCGAGCGATTATCCCGTGACCGAGGACGGTCTCGCAGTCGTTCTCGTCGCCGATCCAGCTCCAGGTCGCACTCCAACTACAGGAGATCCCCACACTGCTGGTACCACCAGAAGTTCGGAGACAGGGCCAACAAGTGTATCAAGCCGTGCGACTACCCGATATCGGGAAATGTGCAGGGCAATCAGTGATGGCGGCCGATGATTGTCCGAGCGCGGGTCGCCTATTCGTGACCGACCAAAGTTCGAAGATGCAGTTTTTGGTCGACACCGGCAGTGACCTCTGTGTCTACCCCCGATCGGCAGTGGCGCGACGCCTCGTTAAAACCAATTATGAACTCAGTGCGGCAAACGGTTCCATAATAAATACATATGGATATATTAAATTAAATTTAAACTTAGGATTACGCCGTGACTTCGCTTGGCGATTTATTATTGCAGACGTGACAAGGGCGATAATAGGTGTGGATTTTTTATCTTTTTATAACTTGGTTGTTGATTGCAGGAACCAGCGTCTACTCGACAACAATACAACGCTCTCCACCCCGGCTTTGCCTGTCCGTCGTTCTGATGATGTGTCTTCGGTGAGGGTGAGTCTCGGTGATTCCGCATACACACATATACTACGGGAATATCCCGACATCACTCGACCTCACGGTATACACCGCACATCAAAACACAATACAGTACATCATATTCGTACTACACCAGGGCCACCAGTATCGTGTTCTCCGCGTAGACTGGCCCCGGATAAATTAAAAATCGCGAAAGCTGAGTTTGACGATATGTTGCAGTCCGGTATCTGCCGTTTATCCGAGTCACCGTGGTCGTCGCCTCTTCACCTCGTTCCTAAAAAAGGTGATGGATGGCGCCCCTGTGGCGATTACAGGATGCTGAATGCTCGTACTGTGCCAGATCAGTACCCTATCCGGCACATCCAGGACTTCGCACACAGCCTGTCTGGCTGTACCATCTTCTCGCAAATTGACTTAGTCAAAGCGTACAATCAAATTCCTGTGAATCCAGAAGACATCCCGAAGACTGCTATCACGACGCCGTTTGGTCTGTTCGAATTCCCGTACATGACGTTCGGTCTTCGAAACGCAGCGCAGTCGTTCCAGCGCTTCGTAGATGAAATGCTCAGGGGTCTGGACTTCACATACGCTTATCTTGACGACTTTCTGGTTTTTTCTAAAGACAAGGCTACGCACGAGCTTCACCTGCGTCAGCTTTTCACCAGATTGCGAGAGTATGGTATGGTCATCAACAGCTCCAAGTGTGTTTTTGGTGTGTCCGAGGTAAATTTTCTGGGATATCACATCTCTTCAAAAGGGACTAGGCCGTTGCCTTCCAAAGTGGAGGCCGTCCAGAACTTCCCAGAACCTAAAACGGTCAGGGAGCTGCGCAGATTCCTAGGGATGCTGAACTTTTACCGCAGGTTTATCCCCAATGCAGCTACCTACCAAACACCCCTCAACTCCCTCCTTTCCGACTCTGTAAAAGGCTCACATCCTGTAAATTTTACAGCAGCCCAACGACAGGCGTTCCAGAGCTGCAAAGACAGCCTTTGTCAGGCAGCACTACTGGCTCATCCTGATTGCAGCGCTAAGTTGGCGTTGGTCACGGATGCGTCAGACGTAGCCATCGGTTCTGTCTTGCAGCAACTCAACGCTGGAGCTTGGGAGCCTCTTGCTTTCTTTTCTAGGAAGCTGAACGACACGCAGGTTAAGTACTCTCCTTACGATCGCGAACTGCTCGCTATTTACGAGAGTGTAAAATACTTCAGGCACATGCTGGAGGCTCGCGACTTTGTGATTTACACAGATCACAAGCCCCTCACATTCGCCTTTCATTCTCGTAAAGAAAATTGCTCCCCACGACAGTTCCGACACCTGGATTTCATTGCCCAATTCACAACTGACATCAGGCACATCTCGGGCAAGGACAATGTCGTGGCGGATACGCTATCACGCATTGGGGAGATTACTCAACCTGTGTCCGTCGAAAGGATTGCTACAGCTCAAAAGGAAGATCATGAGCTCAAGAAATTACTAGCAGGTGAGAACTCACTTCGCTTGCAGTTGGTAAGTGTGCCAGGTTCACAGCAGCAGTTGTATTGCGACGTCAGCACTACCACGCCTCGACCTTTTGTACCCAAGGAGCTGCGCAGGTCAATTTTCCTCAGCCTGCACTCCTTGAGTCACCCAGGTACTAAGGCATCTGCACGATTGGTTGCTGATCGCTACGTGTGGCCTGGTATCAGGAAAGATTGTCGTGACTGGGCTCAGAGTTGCTTGGCTTGCCAGCGCTCTAAAGTCACACGACACGTCTTCGCGCCTTTGCAATCATTTAAATTGCCTCAGGCAAGGTTTGCATTTATCCATATAGACCTCATAGGTCCTTTGCCATTATGCCAAGGTTTTCGGTACTGCCTTACTGCCGTCGATCGCTTTACGCGATGGCCCGAGGCTATACCCCTCGCAGATATAACCGCAGAAACCGTGGCAAAGGCCCTACTATGTGGATGGATATCTCGCTTCGGCTGCCCTTCCGATATCGTAACTGATAGAGGTAGGCAGTTCGAATCCGCACTCTTCAAGTGCCTGTCTAGCATAGCTGGCTTTCAACATCGCAGAACAACTGCATACCATCCAGCCTGCAACGGACTGGTGGAAAGATTCCACCGTCAACTTAAGGCTGCAATCACCTGCCACGCTGACAGCAGTTGGGTGGAATCTCTTCCACTCGTCCTGTTAGGTGTCCGCAGCGCCTTTAAGGAGGACGTTCAGGCTTCAGCTGCCGAGTTAGTTTTTGGCCAGCCACTGCGACTCCCAGGCGAATTTTTCGACCCACAGGCCAACGAAACTATCGACACGAACGATTATCTTTCCAGGCTTCGCAGTATTGTCCGTAGTCTTCAACCAGCACCAGCAGCCAGACACAACAGCCGCTTCAAGACTTTCATTTTTAAAGAACTAGCCACTGCATCGCATGTGTTCCTTAGGGACTGCGCTGCTGGTGGTGGTCTGAAGCCGGCATACTCTGGCCCACACAAGGTCATTGAACGAAGTGACAAGGTGTTCAAACTACTGGTGAACGGTAAACAGGCAACAGTATCGATAGACCGCATCAAGCCGGCCTTCATACTGCGTGATCCTGACACCACATCACATTCACCACATAACACACCACATTCGATACTAAACAACAACACTCTTCACTACACACCCAACGCGGATAACCGAGAATCATCTTCTCCTAAGGATGACGTCATCAAAACGTCACGGTCAGGACGTCGCGTTAAATTCCCAGATTATTATCGCCCTTGACGGTCTCTGGAGGGGGGTGATGTAGTGACCTACCCTATCTATCTAACCTAATCTATTTTCTCAATTATGTTCTTCATCTGTCTATCTTTGTTAAATTCTTAAATTCTAAACTATTTCCATTATTATTATATACATATTATTTACTCTTAAAAATACTTAAAACTAAATACTTATTCACATATAAAAACCATAAATTAATTCTATCAATATTTACAATTTGTATTATATAAGTTAAATATTATTTTCTGTACAAAACTACTTTTCTTATTAGTAGATAGTTTATCAATGTATGACGCGCTCAGGTACTCGTGCGCCGACTCGGCGACCGGTCCGCCCGGTACGTCACAGCCGCGCGAGCGAGACCGCGCTATATTGATCTTGCGCTCACGCACTGCACTACTGCACTGTGCTGCGTCACGCAATGACCACACAGTTCTAGTTAGCTTTTCGTTCGAGCTATCGCGCTAACCACCGTGCTTTCTAAGTCTAGCTTTCTTAGTGCCGCTAGTGCTAGTATTAACAGTAGACTGTCTGTAAATGTGCTTGTGCTATTTTTCACTCCTTCTTTCTGCTTTCTTCGTATGTGTATCTGAACTGTACGTGTATTCTGTGTGCAATAAACTTTCATACTTTCTGTTGTGCACCCTGGACGCTTTATTTCTTCGCCTTCTTACAATCACCGTACCCTACACACATCCCTACATTTGTATAGGCGTTTCTCCATTTATCAAGAACATTCGATGTCATCCTTCACTTGCCTGACTACCATTGTACGAGTAACATCTAATTTTTTATTAAACCTGATTTCGCTAATTCTCGGAGTTTTTTAATTTGATTGGCACCATTACATCCTCTAAAGTTGTAACAATGATATAATGAATTACAATACTAAAAAATCTATCTATCGAATTTTTATTTTTATTTACTTGGGTATTTTCCTAAGTCAAAAATAAATTAATTCGACGTTTCAATACAATAAAATATTGAAAAAGAACTATACTTTTATTCATCGATCGATCGATACACTAAATTTTAGATATTTTGTAGCTAATTATTAAGAAATAAGTAAGCTATTTGACGCAAAAATACTATGACGTCATAACTCAGCGTTTCATACAAATTTCATAGAAAAGTATCGTTTTTTACTTTTGGATAAAAGTATTGAATTTGACTAGTTGGAAACTACCGTATGCTGATACTAAATTTCTCCATTATTTAATACATATAAATCTTCCTCTTCAATCACTCTATCCATTAAAAAGCAGTCAAAATCTTTTGCGTAATTATTAAGATGTAAGCATACATAGGGATATAGGGACAGAGATAGCGATTTTGTTTTGTACTATGTAGTGACGGCAACATTGAGAAATACCATATTAATCAACAGGCACAGACTTGGGCGCCGAGCCTCTAGACGTTGCAGAGAATAAACCCGACACACAACCAGAGCCGGGAGCCGACGGGACTCCCAGTCCCCAGGGCGGGGCTGGCGGGGCGGTGGGCCCCACGGGGTCGGCCTGGATCGGCCTCATCGGGTCCTGCTTCGAGCCCTACCTGTCTCTGTACGTCAGCTCGCTCGATGCCAACCTCAGCGAGCTCATGGAGCGGTTTATACAGGTAATGTGTATATTTATAATATTTTATCTTCTTTTAGTTATGTAATTTTTGGTTGGCTCAATAAAATGTTCTTTTTCTTCAATTCTACCCTATCTAACATCATCAGACCCTTATAATATAGTATGTATCTCTTTTGGTCTTCGGTTGACGAGACAGGAACGTTATAGAATAGTATATCACCTGATGGTAAGCAACCAGCTCAGCCCATAGATGCCTGCAGTACCAGAAGAAGTACCTTTTTTGTGGACGAGAGTCATCAAATGACTTCTCTCGTCCAGAGTGAGGAGAGAGGGAGTTTCAGATTCTTACTGACTGAAAACACCCTGTTCCTTCTGCTGCTTTAGGCTGAGGTATTAGGGGTGTAATTGTTTCACGCTGGCGTATAATAATATCACTCCACGATGTTAACCCTTCCAAGTTATTTTTGCTTATAATGGATTTTCTGAACTACATAATTGTGCCCGAAGAAGACGATTTCTATAGACGTCCATATTTGATATAATATTTACAATGTAATGATCACCCTTCTGATTCCAGGACGCGAAGGCGTCAGCGTCGTCGGACAGCAGTAGCGGCGTGAGCGCGGTGGGGGAGGGGGGGGGCGGGGGGCGCCGTCATCTCGTCGTGCGCCGACCTGTTCCTCTTCTACAAGAAGTGTCTCGTGCAGTGCGCCAGGCTCACCACCGGGGAGCCCATGCTCGGTACCTGCCTACAGTATTATTGTTTTACTGTTATATAATAGTATGCCAATTAATAAACGGTACATTGACACCCGCATGACCAAAGGAGTTACGAGTACGTTTTTTACCTTTTATGGGTTTAGGGTATGTGAGCCTGTGTGGCCTCCGACCAAACACACCGGTGTGGTTATTTCACGTGAGTGTCCCACAGTTGATGGTATAAGTGGTAAAGAGTGGTTTTATCTGTATGATATATGTAGTTATAATGTCCCGCAGAGCTGGCGGGCGTGTTCCAGAAGTACCTGCGCCTGTACGCGAGCGGGGTCCTGCAGGCGTCCCTGCCGCGGGCGGGCGGGCTGGCCCCCGGGCTGGCGGCCCCCAGCCTGGTGGCCAACCTGCAGACCTTGCTGCGGGACGACGACGGACGGCAGGCGCGCTACTCGGACGCCGAGCTGTCCCGCATCACCAGCGTCATCAGCACGGCCGAGTACTGCCTGGAGACCACGGTGCACCTGGAGCACAAGCTCAGGGAGAAGGTGGCGCCCGCGCTGGCCCACCGCCTGGACCTGGCGCCCGAACAGGAACTCTTCCACAAGCTCATCGACTCCTGCATCCAGCTCCTCGTCGCCGAGCTGGAGGCCGCCTGCGAGCCCGCGCTGGGGGGCGTGGCCCGCGCCGCCAGCCTGGGGGGCGCCGGGGGCGCGGGGGGCGGAGGCGCCGTCCGCGACCAGAGCGCCTACGTGGGGGCGCTGGCGTCGCTGCTGCGGGGGGCGGTGCCCCGCCTGCGGGACCGCCTGGCGTCGTCGCGGAAGTACTTCACGCAGTTCTGCATCCGGTTCGCCAACTCGTTCATCCCGAAGTTCATCCAGACGCTGTACAAGTGCAAGCCGGCGTCTGCGGAGGCCACGGAGCAGTTACTGCTGGACACGCACATGCTGAAGACGGTCCTGCTGGACCTGCCGGGGCTGGGCTCCGAGGTCCGCCGCCCCGCGCCCGCCACCTACACCAAGGTCGTCATCAAGCTGATGACGAAGGCGGAGATGATCCTGAAGCTGGTCCTGGCCCCGCTGGACGGGCCCCTGGAGGGGTTCGCGGCGCACTGCGTCCAGCTGTTGCCGGACCTGACGCTGGCCGAGTTCCACAAGGTGCTGGACATGAAGGCCCTCCGCCTGTCCAAGGCCCAGCAGGCCTCGCTCGACGCCGCCTTCAAGCGCGCCGCCAAGCAAGCCGCCGGAGACGCCAACAAGTGAACTTAACTCACTCTAGTCCAAGCTTAGACTCAAAAGTGTATATATATAAATACTATATGTGTCCATCCCTTTCCCACATATACAATTTATGACGTGTGTGACAGAGACTATGTAGAATCAATTTTTCGTTAGACAATCAATGCAAATCGACTGACAAGAGATTGAGATTGGTATACTGTATAAACATTAAGTGTGAATGACCTCCGCCGTCCTATTTCTGTTAAATTTTATTTTGTTTGTTTATATTGACTGTATGTATGAGTATATTTTGTAACACTATATAAAAACCTTATTACAAAGGAAGTTTTTCGTTAGTCTAGATCTTAAACATTGAGCCAGTTTTTTTATTTCAAATTATAGGTAGGTGAGAATAAGATTCAAAATACAAAAACTGTCTCAATGGTTTAAACCTAGATTAAAGATTTTGTTTTGTAATAAGGCTGAAAGTGTCAGTACGATAAGGTTCCTGGAAGTATGTAATAGGACGTTACAGTACGGCCGACGTAGCTTGGCGAGTCTGAAGTTAGCGGTTTGACTGCGCAATGGATCTTTTAGGAACAAAATTGTGTACTGCGCAGCTAATCGGCTAACTTCAGACTCGCCAAAATACGTCGGCCGCACTGTACCGCTTTTTTTAACACCAGAAATGTTCTCCAATCACTGTAGCTGTCGAACATGTAATAGCCAATGGTGGAACAGTATATTATTTCTTATTGGACGAAAATTAACGACGTCGTCTGGTGAGGGAAAACGGTAGCTCCTATGATTTGAATGGACGATCGTAGAACGTCAAGATCTATCATAAATATTGTAAAACATGAATGGTTATTGAGTTTATGGTCTATCAGGTTAGGTATATAACTAAATGTAAACAATTTTTTTAACTGCACTTTAACTTGGTGCGGTGGCTGGGCAACTGGCTGCCGTGCAACGTGTCGCGGGTTCGATTCCCGCACGGAACAACGCTTTGTGTGATCTACAAATTGTTGTTCCGGGTCTGGGTGGCATGTGTATGTGAAACTTGTATGTTTGTAACAGCACCCACGATACAGGAGAAAATCCTAGTGTGGGGCAACGTTTTATAAAAGAAGAAAAAAATTATCTTTTATTTAAAAATTTTATGTAAAAAGGTTTACGATAAGGTATTTACCTAAATCGATGTAAGCTAATAAACTTAATTGAAATAATCTTTGTATGTATTTTATGCGAGCTCTTTAATATAAAAAGACATGCCAACATTGTTTACCTTTATTTAACCATTTAAACTGATAGACCATATGAAAGAAACCCGCGTCATTAGATAATACGTCATTGTAGATAAACCATAACAAAATCTCCTTGTACAATTATGTCACTATTTATGTAGATCTATATTGATGAATTTATCATTTAGTTAGTCAATGTATTTTATTATTTCAATTTAGGTTTTATTTCTTTATGTTATTGTACTTAGATCATTTGTATTATTAAGTGATAACTATGAATTAACATGTACCTAAATGACCGGTGACTCGGAAAGTGCCTATCCTCATTGTAATAGAGGCTAGTTTCGCGTGTTTTCGTAAGATTTAATTGAATTATTAGTAAATGTGTTAATGATTGGACATGTGTAAGTTTGTGATAATGTCGACATTCCACTAATCGATTAGTTTATGTTATGTAAAGTGCAATAATATTATCAAACAACTAATATACAAATTTTATACAACTAAATGCATTTGGTTTTATTTTATATAAGCTATACTTGGAATTTTTAAAGCGCTGCGCTCTCGTCTCATACACCTATAGTAGTGATGATGATCTGACTATTTTTGAGAGAGTTTTTTTTGTCAGTGGAATATCGTCAAAATGTCTTCTTCTGCCCAGAGTCGGGCGGGAGGGAGTGTCTGACTCTTACTGACTAAAAAACCCTCCGTTTCTTCTCCTGCTCAAGGTGGAGGTCGCGGTGCCTCATTGCGCTTACCCCACAACCCCGGCTGAACATTAGCCCTATAGGGCCCCGTCTGTGGAACCCCCGTTTCACTCCCCCCCCCCCCCCCTTTCTCTCCCTCCATTTCTCACTGCTTCTCTTTCTCTCTCTCTCTCTCTCTCTTCTACTCCGAGCAGCGGTATATTAATTGCGTTTGACCCGCATCACCGGCTCATCCACGATCAGCCTAGTCTTATAGTCAACACTGGTGGTGAATGATAAAATACCTGATAATTACATAGTCAAACATATCAACCGACTCCCAATCTGTCAGTACTTTCTGTAGCATGTTTCTAACTTTCCAGAGGATAAAAAAAATTACCTTGAAACCCTTATTTGACAGAAAGAAAAGGCTGCATCTGCATGCTTAATAAATAAAGTAGGTTTTAGACTACAACATGCTACATGCATCTATATGTTTACTACGTCGTGTTATTCTTTATATAAATGTATATTGTCATGAGTGAGTCCATTTATTTTTACGAGACATAAAATTTTACCAGACTGATTATAGCGCTAAAGAAATTATTTCGCTAATCAAAGTGCAAAATGTTTTGATTTTCTGCGTCCTAAATATGTGTACCACATGACTGAGCTTTGGTTGATTTTATGATTTTTCCTTGTCTGAAATTGAAACCTATTTACTTTGTATTGTCCCCAAACTCCTTTTTATATACAAATTTTCATTTGATCATCTTTTCGAGATCGTGTAAACAACATTAGAGATACAATTAATTATTGTTTGTGTAAAAGTATTCGATAGGTAAGTAGTAGTTAACATAACAGTCAACAGACCCATTTGTTTTAACTAAAGCCTCACTTTAATACATTAAATCACCAATTTTAGTGTTAAATTATTTACTATAAAAATAGTTATTTTTAAATCTCTCATCAATTTTAATCTTATTTTTAAAATGAGCAATAGATCCACACACAGCGCTCCAGTAAACAAGAATAATTAATGCAAATTGCAAAGAAAAAAAGTAAATTCTCATAATAGCCCCGATAAGTAACTATAAAAAATTGAAAAAAAAAACCGTAATAAAAACTAAACAGTTTCCTATCCAGATTAGGCTGAATGCATGTTTACGGTTGCCTTTCCTGTTTGAAAAAGTCGCACTGTAAACAAACATGGTTGAAGCGAAACGTCAAAATCAGTCGGTCGCCGAATGCGGCGCGGCGTGTTGTCGCTTAGTCTAATAAATATTTGAGAATGGTGTATTTTCCGGTGCGAAAGTGCTACCAGGCGGCCAAATTGGTGTTGTTGGTTGTTTTGGTGGTGACAATCTTGGCTCTGTTCGAGCAGTGGCGAGGTGGTAAGAGGAATGCACAAGCGGAGTACTCGGATCCAATGGAGGCTGAATACGAGAGACAGATATTAGAAGACGAGGCGAGAATCATCCCTGGGCTGGGCGAGGGCGGCGCCGCCGCGCACCTGCTCGGGGAAGAGAAGAAGCTGGGCGAGGAGTCTGAGAAAAAACTGGCCATCAACGTGTACCTGAGCGACAGGATACCGTACAACAGAACTTTGAAAGGTGAGGCTTGGAAACGGTATAGTAATACTAAAGCTACATAAATTATGATAATCAACGCTCTAAGGAGTACGGCGAGTAACTGCGCTCACATGAAACAAATTATTAGTTTGGTATTTGCACTATTTGCAGTGAAAGTATGGTCAGTTCAGTGTCCAGCAAGCAGTGCAGCGCACGCCGCGCTCCACATATGCATAGCGTACTGCGGTGTAATTCATTAATCTCATGAATTACATTGTAGGAAGAATTTAATTTTTACACATCCCTATGCCCATCCTGCCCCACTCATTCTTCTTATGGTTGGAAACTTATTTTCTGACTCAAATATTCTACTCATAGCCCACACAAAAAATACAGACTTACTCGACATTTACTACAGTTACAATATATATTTAAAAATGGAACATTGATCATATCAATCATGAAGGTTTTTATTAAAGATATGCAAATCATAATTCACACTAATTTATTGATAAAATTGCCTACAATCTGATAAGATACCATTAACAGAAACTGGTTTCCATTTCAAAGGCAGGGGGTTTATTGAAATTTTCATAGATAAATTGGAAAATTATAGAACAACAACTTATGTTGAGGGTATAAATATTTATGGTATGAATAAGTGTTGATTGTAGCATACCAATTACCAATGGCTATGTCCTAAAGAAGTATGCAGTGTAGTTAGTAGTGATGCTGTTTCTTGCTCGTTCTTCTCCATTTGGAATGAGCACCAAGCTTCACTTGTGGTGTAATCTATGATCATGTATTGTATATTTGGTGCATCACCTTGTAGATAGTTGTCTAAGTATAGATAATGTTAAGAAGTAGACAATAGGAATTCAAGAATTCAAATAAGATATTAATTAGTTAAGACAAGCACATAGTTTTTTTTTATGTAATAGGTCGGCCATAAAGCAGACGGATTACCTGATGGTAAGCAACCAGCGCCGCCCATGGACACCCGCAACGGACGAGTTACGAGCGCGTTGCCGACCTTTTAGGGATTAGAGATTTGGGGATTAAGGAAGGATTGGGGGTGGGGAAGGATTGTGCCTCCGGTAACCTCACTTACACGGCGAAACACAACGCTGTGGTTGTTTCACGCCGGTTTTCTGTGAGGCCGTGGTGTCACTCCGATCGAGCCGACCCATTTGTGCCGAATCATGGCTCTCCCACACTTAATCATACCTATAAACATATAAATAGTATTGTTATGTTGAATAAAGAGAGCAATTCTTATTAGGTATTAGTTGCCTTAACATGTAGTTCTGTGTTTTTTTGACACGTCTACTGTCTACCTGTGCCTACCTGTCAGAAGGTTGGCAAGCCCTACATCATACGCTGATGAACAGACCGACAGACTACTATTCTATTTTGATGTTTCTAAAGTACCATACTTAAGGTTTAGTTGGAATAAATGATTTGTTGACTTTTGACTTTAGTATATAACAAGTTTCAACTGCTTGCAAAATGTAATGTCATACATGGCAAGTGGATTTTATTTATTCATTTTCTTAAAATCATATTTATTAATGAATGAATGAAAACTTTATTTGCTAGCAATGTAGCTAGGTATGTATGTGAAATAGAATTTCTTGCAACAAATTCAGTAGATGTTTTGTATATATGCGAATATTGCATGTAATTACATCAATTATTTTACTACAAATATTTTAAAGTTAAGCCATACTCGGTATGTCTGTACCTACCTGTGTGATATACCTGACTGAATATTACTGGCCGAGCTACCAGCGGTCGCAGTGCAGACATAAACCTGCGTTACAACCTGATAACAGACCTAACCGAGAATAATCAATACTTTTTTGCCAACATGTTTAAGAAACTTGTTTTTCAAAATACTAAAGCTGTGGTGTCAACAAAGTATTCTTTTGGGGCTAGTCATATTATGTGACTAACAAACTAGACAGTGCCGGCGTTAGGGGGGGCCTGATGGGGCGATGGCCCAGGGAGGGCGACAAATTCTGGGGGGTGCCAAGGTCTGAAGTTGGAGTCTTTTGTGCAAACCGTCAGAACTGTGCTCAACACTCTGTGCATATACAATTTGTTTATTAAGATTTTTTTTGTGGTAGATTAGCGACTCTAACAATATCCTTAGAGTCACTCCTCGACCACACAGTGCTTACGCTTACGATTATTATGCGTGTGATACGAGGTAGATGGTGGGGATAGCTGAACTTTTCTATATAAAATATATAAAACTAGCTACTCTCGCGCGGTTTCAGCCGCTGGTCGACTCCATTTCATCGTAGCGTGATGTTTTATAGCCTATAGCATTCAGGAACATTGTAGCTATCTATCAGTGAAAGAATTTTGGCAATCCGACCATCGATTCCAAAGATTACCCCCTACATACAAACTTACAATATCTCATTCGTGGGCGCCACAATATTTTCGCCCGGGGTGTCAGTGGCCGTAAAGCCGGCACTGTCTCTCTCTCTCCTTTTAAAAAAGTTGATCTTTTTTATACTGATACCTCTGGCGAAATCCTTCACTTAATAATTGGGGTTAGATCTTCTATACTTCATTTAATTTATCGGTCTGTTCGCTAAAAAGTTCTCTGTAATAATACTGAACTGCTACCCTCAAAGAGTCAACAGACCACCACAGACGGGGCCCAATAGGGCTGATGTTCAGCCGGGGTTGCGGGCTAAGCGCAATAAGGCACCGCAGCCCCGGCTTGCAGCAGCAGAGCGAACGAGGGGAATTTTAGTCAGTAAGAGTCTGACACTCTCTCTCTCGCTTTACCCTGGGCGGGAGAAGTCATTTGATGATTTTCCCCTGACAAAAAAAAACCCAATCTTCCTCAATCATCAAATCCCCTATCCTTAAAGCGCTAATAGCTCACAAGTGGTCGTCAACGCACTTGTAGTAACACCTTTGGTATTGCGAATGGCCATGGGCGCCGCTGATTACTCACCACTAGGTAATCAGTCTGCTAGTTTGCTGATGCAGACCTATGACATGAAAAAAACTAACGGCTGTCTTTCTGGATAAATTATCCTAGCAGATTTAAATGTTGGAAGGTATTTCAGTTAATTTTGGAATTAAGCGTAAATCGTAAGTTTTACATACTGAGGGTGACATGGTCGTCATAAACTATGAACAAACCTTCCAAAAAACAACTGCTGTACACAGGCCGCTTGTTGGACGGCTAACGAAACTAGTTGATCTCGACACATACGTACCTAACCTGTGTGCCTAACACGAAAATTATCAGGTTTTATCAGGTTCCTAACATTTAGCGTGACTAACGTGAACGGTTTTTTACCCGACTGCCAAAGAAGGAGGGTAATGTTTTTCGAGTGTATGTAAGTATGTATGTATGTCTTTTCCTTTGTGACCTCCTGTAGCCTAAACGGCTTGATGGATTTTGATGTATGAGGTATCGTTAGATTTGTCTTGATTACGGGAGTGTCATAGGATACATTTTATCCTAAAAGTCCCACGGGATAAAGACTTAATAATATTTTTTCTAAATTTCCCTTTAAAAAAAAATATTATTAAAAAAACAAAATACCCGACTGCACACTAAAAAAAAAGAATAAAAAAAGCCCCACAATACAAATTTACTGAATATAATTTATAAATGTTGATGGAAAGCATCGCAGGCGGGGACCACCTTGACCGCCACCAACGAAAATTCTGCTAAATGGTGCACAACAGAAATGACTATAAATAAGCCTCTGTTGGTCCCCGCCTGCGATGCTTTCCATCAACATTTATAAATTATATTCAGTAAATTTGTATTGTGGGGCTTTTTTTATTCTTTTTTTTTAGTGTGCAGTCGGGTATTTTGTTTTTTTAATAATATTTTTTTTTAATGAACTATTAACTATACTACAGGCTAACGCATGATTAGATATGTACATAGGTATGTATACCTAACTACGTATTATTTATACCACGGCCTCACAGAATACCGGCGTGAAACAACCCACAATGTTGTGTTTCGCCGTGTGAGTGAGATTACCGAAGGCCCAATCCCTTATCCCTTCCCGATCCTTATATCCGCAACCCCTATCCCCCAAAGGCCGGCAACGCACTCGTAACTCCTTTGGTGTTGCGGGTGTCCATGGGCGGCGCCGATTGCTTGCAATCAGGTAATCCGTCTGCTCGTTTGCCGATATATACCATTAAAAAAACATCTTATTCATAAATGTAGGAATAAATGGTTTTTCTGTAAGCAAGTCTACTCAATTAGGTATTTTTGTTACTTAGAATAATTATATGTAACATATTTGTTTCAAGGCAAGGTTTTTGGCAAGTACCAATGTACCAATGTGACTTTTTCCGAGTTATATGTACATTCTATGGTTATTCAGACACCACTGACATACGGTGAACGAAAACAACGTGAGGAAACCTGGACTTGTAATTCTAAGTTTAAAATCGCCAATCCGCCTTGAGAAAGCGTGATGATTAATGCTCAAACTTGCTCCATGTGAGAAGAGACCTTTGCTAAACAGTGGGCACTTATAGACTGATGATGATGATAATGATGAAATTCAGTTCAATTGAAATTCAATAGGCAAACGTAGTGTAGGGCGCCCTCCAGCTAGGTGGACTGACGACATCCGCAGGGTGGTTGGCAGTGGTTGGATGAGAAGAGCTGAACATCGAGCTCAGTGGCGTGCAATTGGGGAGGCCTATGTCCAGCAGTGGACGACAACAGGCTGATGATGATGATGATGATGAAATTCAGTCTATCTTTTTGCCAAAATTCTTCATAATTAGTTCAGTAGTTTAGGTGTGGATAACTGCCGCTTGCCGTTTGACATGTGTTTATTGACACGAGAACGAACAAAAGTACACCATGTAGGTCGATTTACACACGAAAATGGTGGTTGGCATAATTAGAGTGCTTAAATATTGCAGTTTGCATGTTTAAACAGAATAACAGATGTTGCTCACGGCTCATCGTTTAAATAGTGGAGACATTTATTATCAGTATTGCACTCGTGTGAAGCAGGGGCGAGGCGCTATAGTTAATGATATCATCATCATCATCATTATCATCAGCCTACAAATGCCCAGGTGTTGAGCATTAATCACCAAGTCCAGGTTTCCTCACGATTCCCTTCACCGTATGTCAGTGGTGTCTAAATAATCATTGAAAGGACATATAACTCGGAAAAGTCACATTGTTTACTTGTCAGGTTTTGAATATGCACCCTTGTTTATGAGAATCGAGCGTGAACCACCGGACCAAAGAGTTCATGATAATAATAAACCAGTTAATGATAGTCCTACTAATATTGTAGACGTATCAGTTTTTTTTATGTGATAGGTCGGCAAACGGTCAGGCGGATTACCTGATGGTAAGCAATCAGCGCCGCCCATGGACACCCGCAACGGAGGAGTTACGAGTGCGTTGCCGACCTTTTAGGGATTAGGGATTTGGATATTTCGGGATTGAGGAGGGATTGGGGGAGGGGAGATCCGGTAACCCCACTCACATGGCGAAACACACCGCTGTGGTTGTTTTACGCCGGTTTTCTGTGAGGCCGTGGTATCATTCCGGTCGAGCCGACCCATTCGTGCCGAAGCATGGCTCTCCCACACTTAGAGACGTATAAGTATGGCAGAACGTGAGATAGTTTATAGTCTGAAGTAAAACATAGGCTACTTTTTACCCTGGTACCTACTGTGGGCGAAGCCTGAAAGCTTTAAGAAAATTCCGACAGATTGTACCATTCGCCTATAAATATAATTATAAGTAATCAATAATAACTACTTACTGTAACCAATGACGTATTATATATAGACACGTCATGAACCAACATCGCGGCGTTTAAAAACGGCGAAAATACTAGATAACTACTTCTACGAGTAAAGAAAGGGAAAGAAAATATGACATCGTATAGTGGAATGCCTTTGCTAGAGGGAGATAAATATACATCTTCAGTTACATCGGCACGTGACTATACCTTCATGCGCCGGCCGCCATAAGATGGCGGGCGCCGGCGTCGATAAAATAAAATAAAAATAGGTTGTTTGGTGAACTTACGCATGAAATGACACTTTTGTCTTTAACTTTTGGAGTATAATTTGTACATCGTCTGAACACATACGACGGCATGCTTTCTTTATGTTTCGCACAGGTTTACACACACGATATAAATTAAAAACAAACGTAGCGTCGCGCGGCAGGTTGGTGCGTAACTAAGCGCGATGTTGTCAATTGCCTTCATTTCATGTTGTCATTTTAGAGCGCGGACAACGTATCTATAGTTTTATACATCATTGACTGTAACGGTCAAACTATTACGTGACACGCGCTACTCGTCCGTATTATGCGCGTGCGACGGACCGGCCAAAACCGTGAAATGAGGCGCGCGCATGTGTGGGTACACTGTACGCGACACACACATACGATGACTACGGTTATCTATTCGATTCATAATTGTAACGGACTCTAGCGGCTAGCCAGTACTATAGAGACAGACCTATGTAGAGTATGTGTCTCTAGTGGCCCGTCCAGCTTTCCACAAGTGTTTAACTACCTCCTTTTTTTCGAGGGTAGAAAATCATTAAAAAAGTTCTCTCGTGCCACTCTTATTGATTTAAGACTACTCCTTTCCTTTTAGGCAAAGGCAGGACATTATTACGTTTGATCCTCAACTCCGGCTGATCTAACTACCTAGGTTGTCAGTCCGTTTTTTAAGGAACCGCTTCGGCATCGACATTTCTAAAGAGTTGCCTTTTCAATCAAATCAGTCTCCTATCCTTATTCCCTAACAACCATCGATCACTAATAAAGAACTAGATACACAATCAGTGGCAAAAAAATGTCCCAACTGAAAGTCCACCAAACTCAACATCGCGGTGTAGTTTTAGTTTAGTACCACTCGAATGCTCCGACGGTAAACACGCCTCAGTGCTCGTTAAAAAACTGCAAAAACACACACATATATGATGCAAAAAAGGATGGAATTTCATATTTTCGTTAAGTAATAATATTATCATTATATAATTGTCATCATTCTATTTAAAATATTGATATTTTATTAAGAATTAAACTTAAAACTTTTTCCAAATGAAATCGTATTCAAAAACCGGGGTTATAATGCACACAGTTTATAAAGACACTTATACTAAACTTAAAATCATTCTCTAGCATGACCACTTAAGTTGTTCGGTTTACGTGGATTGATTCTGTTCCGTTTAGTGGAGACGCTATTGTTTCTAATTTTATTTATTGTTTTTTTTATTAAAAAATAGTTTTTATTTAATATTATACTTCTTTACTGTGTTTATTAAATTATGGAATAGGCAGATGTAATAGATTTAATTTTAACTGCAGAAAAGAATTTTTTTTTTTTAGCTTTCTTCAAGACCCGTTCGATATGAAAAATTGACAACAATAACGCCAACATTTTCAGTACTTACTTTAGATATATATTCTTTTTATTATTTTACATCTTTTTTATTTGACTTCGAATAGAAAGGATTAAGAAGGACGAAAATAATAAAAAAGAATTATAACTATATGCATTAGTTTCATTGGTAAATAAATGAACAAACCTATAGAAAAGAATACTATAAGTAATGCGTTTTAATTTGCGTATTTTCTTTTTTTGATAAATTATAAAATACGAAAGAAATATATTTCTTACGAGACATTTCGACTCCAATCATTCTTTGTCCTAGCGGTGAGCCGAAGTCGTTAAATTTTATTGCTTACTTTTGACACTTTGTAAATTCGACTTAAAAACATGCGAATATGGTTCAATTTCTTATGATTTGTGTTTGTCAAGAGCTTCGGTCGCAAAAAGTATTAAGATTTTGTACATCACTTTGTAAAAACAACTCTATGAGTTGCATTTAAGGTTTAATTTACATTAATGCATTTTTATTTCAAGTATAAGTACCTAAATACAGTTGGCGACAGTTTTGAAGCGAACTTTTGTATGGGATTGTGTATCTAGTTCTTTATTAGTGATCGATGCTAACAACCCACAAAAGGTCGGAATGCACTTGTCACTCCATTATAGTGCCATTCGACGGTGCCGATACCTAGAAAAAAAAATTTGGTTTAGAATGTACAAATGTGTGAAGACTATGTCGAAGCGACCCACTGGGTGCAGGTCACTTTCCAAAATCGTAGAGGGTGTTCCGCAGTGTCCACTTTACACGTCTTGTGGCCGTTTCCTGTAAAACATTTTGATCAATCGTTTAACTTTAACTTTAAATAGTAATTTACCTTTTTTCAATCTGAAATATTTTCATCCGGCTTTGCGGATATAAGCGCAATATTCTACCGCGGCCTCGGCCTTGGGCAGAAGAAGGGACGGGATGGTTTTCGTCGTCAGGCAGAGAAACAGTTTGATGACATTCCCTATTCAAAAAAAAAAGACTGAAACATGGTACATACAGCTCACGACCAGCTGACTCACCAGTCATTACAACAGATCAGATCCGGCCTACATAGGCAACATAATGGCATATTATAATATAGTAATGTTTAATGAGCTCCGCACTATGTGCCAGTGACATACAATTAACTTCTCACGCCGACGCCACAATTTCCACACAATGCAAATTGATGGAATATATGATTTCCCGTGAAAAACAACTCATAGGAAAAGTTTTGAAATATGCCAATGTACTGCTTTCTATTGGTGGTTCTTGTGGCGATAACTCGATCGGAATATTTTCACTATATGCTGCACATCTTTAGCAGTGTATCACCTGATTCTTAGCGTGAGAGAGCCCAATACTTCCCCTCCCCCAATCCCTCCCAATTCCTAAATCTCCAGATCCCTAATCCCTTTCCCCAGAGGAGTTACATGTGCATCCTCTGTTGCGGTCCATGCTAATCCATATGCTTGTTTGCCGACCTACTACATAAAAAAACTGTGTGTGTCTGTCTGTGGCATCGTAGCTCTCAAACGGATGATCCGATTTTAACGCAAGTTTTTTTGCTTTTTATAGCGTTTTTAACCTTTTCCCATTATAAGTGCGTATTTGGGTCGGGGGATTTTTATAAATTTTTAATTTTCTCACGATGTGGCTGACAGTTGGTGTCGGGTGTTTATATGTCGTCGCAGCCGCCATCTGATCCTCAGCACGGGCCACTCGGTAACCGGACCGTGTGACCACTAACGCCTTTACTCCACACTTCACGCATCACTTGTGTCCTGGCACTTGGCAGTGACCTGTAACGTAGTGACCTGAACTGCTTAAATGAATATATCAGTCGGGTAGTTGTTTTTGAGGGCCTAATGTCTTCGTGTAACGGTTGAGGCAAGAGGGAGGGTCATCGTTTTTTTTTGGGACAAGCCTACTATAACCTCTCAATAGCCGCAAAACCGTTGCAACTCATGGAAACCAAGATCTACAATAGCTACATCCATGGAAACACCGAAACACTGAAGTCTTCGTCCCAGCGACATGACTGTCTTCCCGCAACGCTTTCGACCTTTCATAAAATAATCAGTAGATATTATTTGAAAAAAAAAACAACCGCAACCCCGGCTAACTAGTCCAGTTGATGTTTTCATTCGACAATTAGGGTCGGTGGTTGAGTGCTTTCGTCGCGAAATTAGCTTCGATTCTTGGGTGGTGCAACGTCGGCAATGCACTTGTAACTCCTCAAAAGTTGCAAGTCCATCCAAGTGCGCCGCTGATCACTTAAAATCAAGTCCTGATAATCCATAAAAAAAAACTTGTAACTATTTCCTTGTTTCAGACTATCGCAACCCAGCCTGCAAACGCGTAGTGTATGATGCTGAACTTCCGTCAGCCTCCGTCATCCTGATATTCCACAATGAGCCTTATTCCGTAGTAGTAAGGACGATATGGAGTGTGGTGAACAGTGCGCGCCGCAGCCAGCCATGGTATAAGCACGCCAACTTTATGGACCGACAGACTGGCAGAGTCACTACTGTGGGTGAGTTTGTACCTTATTACACAGGTATTATAGTTCAATTTCGGTTGACTTGCTTTGGTAGTATGATCGCATATCAATTAAATAATTATTTTAACTTATAATACACTAGCTACTCTCGCGCGGTTTCACCCGCTGCTCGGCTCCATTTGATCGTAGCGTGATGTTTTATAGCCTATAGCACTCAGGAACATTGTAGCTATCGATCAGTGAAAGAATTTCGGAAATCAGACCAGCGGTTCCAAAGATTACCCCCTACATACAAACTTACCAATTTTACCTCTTTATAATATTAGTATAGACTACGGTATTAAGACCATCTTTTACTAAATTTTATGCAAAATGTGAAGTTATTAAATAAAAAAATCTTTAATTCATCATACCGTATCAAAATTTATTGGATCAGTCAAAGAATTATTCCGTTTGGGAATCGAAATCGCATCACTTTGCACAGCAACGTTTCTTGCACCCGCTGAGCCAAAAATACAGTCAGACTAGACAACATTTTCTTCTTTCTTTTAAAAAATTATTGCAACAGAGTCACACTAGGATTTTCTCCTTTATCGTGGGTGCATATGCACATACGCATCACATCCAGACCCGGAACAACCATTTATGGAAGGTTCCGTGGCCTCGGCCCAGAGCAGGAGAAGGAACGGGGGGTTTTTAGTCAGTAAAAGTCTGACACTCTCCCTCGCCTTATCCTGGGTGAGAGAAATAATGTAATGATTTTCGCTCCTCAATAAAAAAAACACCAACAAATCCAAACTAATATTATAAATGCGATAGTAATGCTGTCTGTCTGTCTTTCCTTCACGCCTAAACGACTTTAACCGATTTGTGTGTTTGAACTCGAGAAAGGACATAAAATTTCTGCAGGATTACTCCACGTGAACGAAGTCGTGGAAAAAGCAAAAAAAAGTCAAATATCATTTATTCCAATTAGACCTTTACAGGCACTTTTGAACGACAAACAAAGTTTTGAAGATATAGTGTCAGTCTGTCGGTCAGTCCTCTTAGTGAAGCTATTTGCTCGTTCCAAAGTGTAGATTCCGATGGAGAAGAACGAGCAAGAAACTCCATGGTTACTCTTTTTAAATCAGTGTCACATACAGATTCTTTTTACAAACAGTTGGTTCAATTATGTGAGAACAGTGTAACACTAATATTTATTCAAATATAAAGTACCTAACCTTAAGGACAATTAGTTCATATTTGATCCGTGCGGCAATCGAGTCTACGACATGCCCGTTCGTGCAACTCCAACATTTTCTAAAATCAAATAAATTTCCCCAGGGTATCCGGGCCAAGATCCGAACTCGGAGTTCGTGTACCTGAAGGAGATTATCCTGGTGGACGACAACTCGACGCTGCCCGAGCTGAAGGGCAAGCTCAGCCATTACGTGCGCACCCGGCTCCCGCCAGACCTCATCCGGATATTGCGTCTGCCTGACCGGTAAGTCATTGAGGTTATCGGACGCCCTATCCTTCCCCAATCCCTAATCTCTGAAAAGTTAATCCCCAAAAATTCGGCAACGCACTCGTATCTCCTCTGGTTTAACGGGTGTTTACGGGCGGCGCCGATTGCTTACCATCAGGTAATCCGCCTGCTCGTTTGCCGACCTATCGTCCCATAAAAAATGTTTGACCGCATGAGTCCGTGCGCATAGTGTCGACAGAATAGACCACTCCTATTCTACCAGCGGATGGCGGAAAAGCCGACTAACACCCGGTTTCCGAAAGGCCGGTTAATGTTAAAATCAATTTAATCTCTTGTCAAGTCATCTGATTGGTTGACTGAATTATCAACAACCAATCAGATGACTTGACAAGAGATTTGACACCTAGTTAGTTGATTTAAACATTGATCGGACTTTCGGAAACCGGGCATGTTTCCACTGCTGGGTACCTTAACATCCGGGCCAACAATACATACAGAGCTCCAAAAAGTGGGCGTTGTCGCAGTGATTGTATAACTCCTTCCTATTAGCCAGGCTTAGGGATTATGAGAAACTTTAAAATAGGAGATTAGGAGGTCTTTGTCCACATGTAGATTTGTGCCGTTTATTCTTATTAATGTAGGGACTTTAGGAGGTTTCGACCTCTGCGTTTGTTTCGGTGCTTCTTTACAAAGTAGTCAGATAGGAACTAAAGATCTCTTCTAAGTTCTTATAACGTTAAGGGTTCCATTTTTAAATCCTATTTTTGAACGGTATTTTACAGGACAAAATGTTTTTATATTTTTTTATACAAAAAGGCCGTTTTCTAAGGTAGGTAAGGTGCCGGTCATTATACAGGTGAAGTGATATCAACGAGAAATTTTAAGTGTGGGAGAGCCAACCTTCGGCAGGAATGGGTGATACCACGGCCTCACAGAAAACCGACGTGAAACAACCACAACGTTGTGTTTAGCCGCGTGAGGTTACCAGAGGCCCAGTCCTTCCCTTCCCGCCAACCCTCCCAAATCCCTAAATTCTAAACCTAATCCCAATAAGTTCAGCAACTCACTCGTAACTCTTCTGGCGTACGTTAGCTATAATTTTGATAATAGTATCCATGATACAAATATGTATTGTTTGATTGTTTGGCAATATCCTAGTACCTTTGGTTACAATACTTCATTGAGTAACGATCACATAACGTCGTACACACGCCGCACGGATTACTTCACTCGCGACAATTGTATCAAAATTCAAACTCTATTGTTACTGAGTCTCCGAGATTATGGAATGTAATCAATGCGATCATTGCAACCTAATTGGTCGCCGCCGCTAGCTACGATAAAAATTTTTGATGTTTTATTTCCACTAATTATGGAAGTCTGAATTACAATATAAAGTTTTAGACCATCTGCGAAAGATGGGACCCCCCATTTAGGAAGACTAGCTGTATTTTTTTCTATTTCGTCTTTAATGGCATGTTGGAATAACCGCTTTGATATTAAGCCCATGCTTAAGTGCTTCGTACCGCTACTAATATCCCCATTCCAGAACATGACCCAGACCTTATAAGGAAAACAGCACACTTATGAACGGCTGAGGAATTTAGGTAGGAGACACCATGGAAACTGCGGCTCTTACCAATTTTTCTGACTCAACAAACTGCAGAGGGTTGGCAGCTGATTCTGAAGAAGATTGTAACACACATGACGCGTCACACGGTGACCAAGTCGACAGGAGTGGTGGTTTCACTAAGACGTCGTACAAACACCCAGGATAGGCTTGACCCAGGCCAGGATGGCGGGCAGCCGGTCGGCGCGTGGCGACGTGCTCGTCTTCCTGGACTCGCACTGCGAGGCCGTGCAGGACTGGCTCCGGCCTCTGCTGCATCGCATCAAGGAGGACCGCCGCCACGTCGTCACGCCGCTCATTGACGTTATTGAGAAGGACGACCTGGTCTACGAGGCCGGAGACCCGACCGAGTTTGAGGTGATCCTCCACCGCGCGGACTTTTCGCGTGCTTAGCCGGACATGTGTACACACTGGGAGGACTCTAAGGAGGAGGAAAATAATCCACTGGATATGCTACAGTATGAAATGGATTATTGGTATTTGGCAATATATGTCTGTTATATTTGTCATCACGTTCATCTAGTTCCTGAAAAAAAATAAGAACACATTTTGGCCCAATATTTGCGCAAAATCACAGAGTATATCGTACAGAGTCTTAACAGTGTGTACGTGTGTGTGTTGGCCGCGTATTCTGGCGACAACCGCAGTGTTACTGTGTCTAACGTCATCAGATTCCATCGGTAGTTAATCAAGTGATTCACAGTAATGAGCATAGTGGTAGTAAACAGTGTCGGAAGCGTATTTTTTGGGGATAGCGTAGCCTTTAGCGTAGTGTAAGCTCAGTATAAGCTATATTATTGTCACGTATAGTCATTATGTGCGCTCTGGTCACACGATACTCCATGGCATTCTGTTCTATCTCTTCCGTAGTTGGTTTGATTACTTCACTCTTTGTTATTCATTAATACGTAAACTAGTAAGGGGTTGTAGACTTAGTTAGTTAAAATCATCCATCGTCCTGACAATAAAGGATAAAAATAGTAACACGTGTCAAGATATCCAAACACGCACATAGGTATAACTCTTACAGATTTTAAATAAGGAACCAAAAATATTGGTGTGAATAATGCGTAGAACTGTAATAAAAGCTTGCACAGCAACAGATGTAGATTAATAGTGCAAGAATCAATAAACAGACGTATTTACAATCAATGTCCCAACCTCATTTATGTCATGGTTTCATAGCTTGCTCCTTAACAAAACTGCAAGGTCACGTATTTTTCTTTCGTAACGTATCGTCGAGTTCAAATATAAAAATGTTATAAGTAAAAATATTTCCTTCCACATTAAACCGTGAAAATATGTACAGAATTGATAACGATCTGTATTTTGTTCATTTCTATTTCTTATGGCATATTTGTGAAGAAATATGCGTTTGATAATAAATTTTAATAGCTCGTAAATATGCGTCGGTCCTAAAATACCACCTTGTGGAATCCGCCTATTATCTACTAATACTTTGTTTAGGTTGATTTGATGTAAGCCCATAACTTGGCACTGTTCTTAGAACAGGGCTGATCCGGGCTCGGCTAGCGGGCTCCAAGGTTGCCACGGGCGATGTGTTGGTGTTCCTGGACTCTCACACGGAGACCGTCATAGACTGGCTGCGGCCGCTCCTACAGCGTGTCAAGGACAAGCGCGACGCTGTGGTCGTGCCTGCCATTGACGTTATCACGCAGGACAATTTCCTATTCGCCGAGAGCTTAGCGAGCGATGAGGTAGACACGGGTGTACCACAGACATATTCAATCTTACGTCTCTTGGATTAACGCTCGATGTAACACGGGGAGCTGTTTCCGATGTGCTCATCCCACTTTGTTTCAATTTGTTTTACTAAACACTGGTCACTGTCGCTATAGGCTGTTATTTAACGTCAGAAGCGGGCTCCGGCTTGCAAACGTTTCGGGCTTTATAAGCCTACATTGCTACAAAATTCCTGCAGTAGAAACAGATGGTTGAGACGTTGTGTGTGGCCGCAGTGTGGGGCTGACGCGGGCGCGGCTAGCTGGCGCGCGCTACGCCGTGGGCGACGTGCTCGTGTTCCTGGACTCGCACTGCGAGACGCAGCCCGACTGGTTGCGCCCGCTGCTGCAGACCATGAAGGACGACCCGCACGCCGTCGTCGTCCCCATCATTGACGTCATCGAGGCCAACAATTTCTTCTACAGCGTGCTCGACACCAAAACATTCCAGGTTACTGTCGAGGGAGTAGTGGCAGATATTGTATCGCCCAGTGCTTGCTCACCTAGAGCTCATTGCTAGACGCCATGGTAGCGTTAGTTGGGTGTAACGCTCGATTGAACCATCAAACAGTAGTTATAATGAATCGATCACATCACGCTATCACTGTAGCCATTGTGAGTAAACACATTTCACCTCGCAGGTGGATAATAGAGCAATTAAATTATTCACAGTTATCGCTTTTGATTTCTGTTCAAGGTTCCTCACGAACAGCTCAAATACAATTACGCGCTACACTGGCTGCAGTAGCCTCGCTGTCAATATCTGCCACGCTTCCCTACGCTCGAGTATGTGTTGTATCCCCCCCCGAACGTCTCCGTGCCTGCACTGCTCGCTGCCTACCATCACTCCGCTTGCATCTGGGTTGCCTTGTTATTTCCTTTCAATAGGAACACTTGCCTCATGACGTTTTCTCTCTGAAGTCCTGGGACTTGCTCTTGGTTCAACACTTGTACCTGGATGGGATTTTCATTTATTGGTTTGGTTCCTTCGTACTATAAGTAAGAGAGTGTACAATTGATTGACTCGCCCATTGTATGTGTACCGGACGTGCGTTGGTGCGAGCTATCCTAGCGGTTGTTGTTCTAAATCTACATTTGGTTTGTGCACTGTTTGTTGTGTGTTTGTCACGCTTTTGTTTACATTTTATTCGATTTTTGTTCAGTCTTTTCGTTTTTTGCTTTTGATCTCTTTCTTAAGGTTGGACGGAGATATTTGCTTCTCACTTTCTTTTGTTTTCTCTTGTTTAAAATTCTCGGGATGTTCTTTAACTTCTTCTTTATCACTGACTGTTTATTTACTTGTATCTTCTGCGTGTGCCACTTGTTTCTGAACCTCTTTATATTCAGCAGCTGCTGCAACGTGTCGACGCGACCTCAGCATAATATTAATTTCTAATTAAATATCATTTGTGTTACATCGCTTCTCATGTACTGCTTTATGTGTGTACATACACTGTGTGTGCGTGTGTGACACTGTGTTGGGTACTATACTCGGGTCTCTGTCTATTTGGTTCAGTCTTGATATTATGCGTAATATGTAGGAAAACCAAAATGTTAATTAGGTTTAGAAAAAATATACTCAAACTCTTAAAACAAAATGTTATTACTATTAAATGATTGAATTATGGAAGTCGACTGATGACTCAGTGTATGAGTATGGACGTGGTAATGCTGCAGCCAGGGTCTGATGCTGGCGCGGCTGAAGGGAGCGCGCGCGGCGCGGGGCGATGTCCTCGTGTTCCTAGACTCGCACTGCGAGGCGGGCCCCGACTGGCTGCGGCCCCTGCTGCAGCGCATACAACACAAGCGGGACTCCGTGCTGACCCCCATCATCGACGTCATCCACCAAACAACCTTCGAGTTTGAAGCCCCTGACACCTTCCAGGTCTACCATACAACGATACAGCCAGCTTCGCAGCAAAACTAACATTGGATGAATTAATGAAAAGTGCTTATTATTATTATTAACAATAAATTTGAAGTAGATGAAGTAAGAAGTTCTGACTGACACAATAACTCGCTCGGTGACGGTGTTTACCAACTTAATATAATGTGCTACTAATTATATATTTAAGTGCTAATTATTCGCATGTGACGTTGAATGAAAGAAATGTTTGTGTTTATGGCGGATTATATTGTTCTGTGCTTTGATAATTGATATGTGAAATATACTCGAACGTATTACGCAACAGTGTTTTGACAATCAATTAAAAAATAATACAATCGAAATTATCGTACACATAAAAACGTTTTCGCGTTAAATATTGTACATACGTATAATTCTACGATACTTAATTCGAAAAAATATCATTTAAATAATATTAACTTACTCGCGTACACTTTTCGAGAGTGTCCCGAGTAATTTCGCGCTACACCGGGGCTCATAATAAAATTATTACATGCCTCAGTGACTGATGACGTAAATATAATTATAATGATGTATCTTTCACGATAGTTACTATACCTAGTTAGAGTAATGATGTATCTTCACGTTGCTTATTAGGTTGGGACGTAGACAGAGACGGGTGGTAGTGTAGCACTAACTATGTATTGTTGTCTCACTCTCACAGCGTGCTTATCTCCATGTATTTATTATAAGTACTAGTTTCTGTTTAAGCTAAAGTTTCCCTAAACTATGAAAATATTTTTTATTTATAATGATTGCACATTTTGTTAATGTTTTTGGAGAGTGTACTATCTTTCTATTATTGTCTATAGCCAAATGAAATGTGCAAGCATTTTGTCTTAATAATAATTAGCGTCTGTATACTCCTATAGTGACTGCAGGCGTCACTGGGCTCCGAATAATGACAAATATTCCTATAAACTATGGTCTATTGCTTTAGGTACTCACCTAAGTAAATGTAAACAATCTTGGCATGTCTTTTTTATTTAAAAACTGTATGTAAAATGTTTACAATAAGGTTTTTACCTAAATCGATGTTAGATAATAAACTGAATTTAAATAATCTTTTTGTGTATTTATACGAGCTCTTTAATATAAAAAGACATGCCAACATTGTTTACCTTTAGTTAACCATCTAAGCCGATGGACCATTATCTTTGCATTTATCTATCCGGCTTCGACTAAATATGTTTAAACCACTTTCATTGAATATAAATTCTATATATTTACAATACCGCTATCGTATCTTGGCGAGTCTGAAGTTAGCCGATTAGCTGCGCAGTACACAATTTTGTTCCTAAAAGGTCCATTGCGCAGACAAACGGCTAACTTCAGACTTTGCCAAGATACGTCGGCCGTACTGTACATAGCTTTACTGGGGTCTATCGCAGATTTTTCGCGCGCTCTAGTTACGCCTGTCATCCGCTAGAGGCTCTAGCATTTATTTTATTCTCTTCCAATCAAATGACCGCTCTGAAGTTAGCGACAGGCTTTGCTTTTCTCTGTCACACCTTACTCGCAGCTAACTTCAGAGCGTATGGTTGACATGCTTTATATTTAGGTGGGCGGGTTCTCATTCATGGGCCACTTCACCTGGACGGATGTACCGGAGCGTGAGAAGAAGCGAAGAGGCTCCGACATAGCGCCAACCTGGTCAGTATCACAATACTTTATAATAGTTTTATTTCTTTATGGGAGGTGTCTCGTCATCTGATGGTAAGCAAATAGAGGCAACACTAGACAAGGACCACATGTGTTACTGGCCTTTTAGGAGGGGAGAGGTATGAGGATATCTAGTAAAAGAATAGACAGTTTTTGTGTATAATTGAAGACCCTTAGGGGTAATCAAAGACTGTCTTTTATCGAGTACCTAGTTCCTAATGCGAGTGCTTGACTCATGGTTTTAGATGCAGGGCAAATTTATTATTGATATCTTTGATTTTTTTAAGTTATAAAGGCTCAAGGATTCATAATAACCAATGTATCAGTTGAATTTGCTTTTTTCATATGATTTCTATTCCAGTTTTTTCGTCTCAGTTCAATTATATGCTCAGACTATATTTTGGTTTCTTCTTAACTTATGATCATACTCATCACTCTTCTTGACTTATGACCTGTTTGTATGTCCAGGTCCCCAACGATGGCGGGCGGTCTGTTCGCAATCAGCCGCACGTACTTCTGGGAGCTGGGCGCATACGACGAGCAGATGGGGGGTTGGGGAGGGGAGAACCTCGAGATGTCATTCAGGATCTGGCAGTGTCAGTCATCTTTGCTTGCAACTATTTTTATTCTTTGTATAGTTATAGTCCTAATAAACTCAATAATTTTAAAAGTCAAAAGCGATATTTTCCTGTGAATCTGGTTTCATACCAGATTCACAGGAAAATAGCACGTTGTGATGTCATAATATTTTAACATTCAAATAGCGTTCTTACTGTAAAGTTAATGAATGCAAGTGTGATTGTTTTTGGGTATTTGTATAGTTTTAAAAAATAATTTGTCTTTGACTGAGGAATCTAGTCAATTGCAATGAAGACTATAGTACCTGAATTTTCCGGTAGAGGCGCTGGTGATGACTTAGGCATCTTACTCAATAGACGATGTGTTAGAGTCAATCTCATTGACTGAACGAACAAGACCTCGCACAACTTTATACATTACATTAGCTATTATTTATTTATTACAAATTAAGCTATCCTAACAGTTACCCAATGCGATAGCTTAGTATTCTAACACCCGGTTTATGAAAGGCTTGTCAACGCTAAAATTAACTAATCTCCTGTTAAATCCCTTGTCAAGTCATCTGATTGGTTGTTGATAATTCAGTCAACCAATCAGATGACTTGACAAGAGATTAAATTTATTTTTACATTGATCGGCCTTCCGGAAACCGGGTGTAAATCCTACATCTATATATTATTTATTATGTACATTCTTATTCAAAATCAGTGAGTGTATTGTCATCTTGTGTTATTATAATTTTTTTATGACGTTGCAGGCGGCGGCACGCTGGAGACGATCCCGTGTTCCCGCGTGGGACACGTCTTCCGCAGCTTCCATCCGTACGGGATGCCCTCACACATGGACACGCACGGTCAGACATACATACATTGTTATATATTTAGTTACACTAATAATATCGCCAATTAATCACCAACCCGCATTGAGCAAGCGTGGCGATTAATGCTCTAACCTTCTCCATGTGAGAAGAGGTAAGAAGAGGTAAGAGGTAAGAAGAGGTAAGTGTGGGAGAGCCATGCTTCGGCACGAATGGGTCGGCTCGACCGGAGTGATACCACGGCCTCACAGAAAACCGGCGTGAAATAACCACAGCGTTGTGTTTCGCCGTGTGAGTGAGGTTACCCGAGGCCCAATCCTTCCCCTCCCCCAATCCCTCCTAAATCCCTAAATCTCCATTCCCTAATTCCTAAAAGGTCGGCAACGTACTCGTAACTCCTCCGTTGCGAGTGTCCATGGGCGGTGCTGATTGCTTACCATCAGGTAATCCGTCTGCTCGTTTGCCGACCTATGAAAAAAAAAAAAGAAAAATAGGGGCCTTTGCTCAGCAGTGGGCACTTATGGGCTGATGATGATGAATTATGTCGCTTGTCTCGCTTTATCTACACCAGTTAGTAAGTTGTCGTGGTGGTCGGGAGGGATCAGTTTACCGAGTTATATGTATAGTCCTTTCTATGATTATTTAGACACCACTGACACACGGTGAAGGTAAACATCGTGAGGAAACCTGGACTTTGAAATTGTCATTCCGCCAATCAATGTTCAAACCTTCTCCGTATGAGAAGAGGCCTTTGCTCGCTTGAAGGACGGTCGGCAGTTGCGCTCGGAAAGTAGTCGAGTAGCTCTTGTCGTTCGACGTGGAGAAATAATTGGAGACTTTTGCCCAACAGTGGACGTCTGATGATGATAGTCATACAAAGAGGAAGGTTGAAATTCTAACATGGTGATAACTACATAAGTTTTAGACCTTAATAATATAGGATTTATGATATAATTGGGAAGACGTCAATGTTCATACTCGGTGGATGTAACAGTGACGCCCTCTGTGTGGTGTTGCAGGCATCAACACGGCGCGCATGGCCGAGGTGTGGATGGACGAGTACGCCGAGCTGTTCTACCTCCACCGACCCGACCTTAGGGTGAGTTCCATACGTTTTAGTGTAGGAGAGCCAGGTTTTGGCACCGATGTAGTATACCGGCGTGAAACAACCACAGTATTGTGTTTCGCTATAGGAGTGACGTTAAAGCAGTCCCTATTCCGGAACCTATCAATCTTTTCATTTTGTGTCTTTTATGCGTCCCAGACGCGAATAAATCCTTTTTCTTTCTTTCTTTCTTTCTTTTCGAACTCCTGATCTCGAAAAGAACGGCAACGCATTGTAGTTCTTCTGCTGTTGTCAATTTTGGTCGATTTCGATTGTTTTTTAAAACGTTGTCCCACACTAGGATTTTCTCCTGTGTCGTGGGTGCGGTTACAAACGTACAATTTCGCATACACATGACATCCAGACCCAGAACAACGATCACACAAAGAGATGTTCCATGCGGGAATCGAACCCGTGACACGTTGCGCTGCAGTCAGTTGCCTAGCCACCGCACCAACCATGCAGTAAAATTTGTTTACTATCAGGTGACAAGAATTCTCGTTTGCCGTCTTTATACATAAAAAAATACTAATGAGGATTACTAGGTTCCAAACGGCGCTACTGTAATCTGTGGAAATCTATTAGCCAACCATTAATTCTTTGACTGCACGGTTGGCGCAGTGGCTGTCCTGCCGCGGCCTCGATTCCCGCACGGAACTACTCTTTGTTGTTCTGGGTCTATGTGAAATTGTATATTTGTAAACGCATTCACGGCACAGGGGACAAAGGTATTTTTAAATTGCGTTTTGTTTTACAAAATGAAAACATAATTTACCAACTACACACGCACAGAACAACCCGAAAATCGGCGACGTGACCCATCGAAAGGTGTTGCGGGAGAAGTTAAAGTGCAAGAGCTTCCAATGGTACTTGGACAACATATACAAGGAGAAGTTCGTGCCGGTCCGCGACGTGTACGGGTACGGGCGGTTCAAGAACGAGGCGTCCCGGCTGTGCCTGGACACGTTGCAGCGCGAGGGCGAGGCGGCGCCGCTCGGCTGCTACCCGTGCCACCCCGACCTGCAGGCCACGCAGTACTTCTCCTTCTCCTTGGCGGGGGAACTACGGGACGAGTTCAACTGCGCCGTCGTACAGACTGACAGGTACACTTGTAGATTTTTGTTTCGACGACTTGTTACAAGCTTTTGATACTGTGCAGAGGCAAAGTTAGCCTTTGGTAGAAAATTTATTTTTAATACAGTTGCTCAAAAAGTGGCGTATTGCAGGGACGTGTAGCGTTCGGGATCTGGGCTATTTTACACTCGTGCTTTTTTTTGCCTTTCCCGTACTCGTGCTTTTTCTTTCGCAACTGACAAAATAATTTCTATTAAAAAAAAAACAACCATGAAGTCCAAACTAAAAAAAAAAATCATAAAAGTTTTTGCGATTCATGCAAATAGGTTTATTTGTTTCTAAAAAGAGAAAACCTATACTAATTTGTCCAATATCAGAATTTATTATTTGATTGAATGAGTTAGGTGAGGTTTCAGTTAATTTCTTCATTTCATATCACTAATTTCAATTTCATTTCTGACAATAAAAAATACTAGGTACTAAAGACTTGGCTGTATGGGCACATGAAAAAAACTGCTTACTTTCTACGGTTGGCGCCATTTTCCGAAGTTTTCTTTTCGCGAGTTTAGTTATTTTTTTTACACAAAACGAGTGATTTCGATTAAATTGCTTAATTTTTTCGCAACTGTATTAAAAATAGTCGTTTAGTACACGTACGGAACCGTCATTGCAACTCATTCCGAATGTCGGAACTCTTTGCAATGACAGCCATTCCGTACTAGTCATGAAATATACTATTCATTTATTATTTATTTGGTTTTAAAGAAAGCTTACAGACTAATGACAGCTATTAATTAACACATTACATAGGGATATTTGCTAATTACAAGCTTCCATATATATTCATTTTATTTAAATTTTAACAAGAAAAAAAAGAAAATGTGATAAATTTTAGTTTTTTTTTTTAATTAAAACAACTTCACAGTTGACGTTATTTTAGAACTGAACACAGTCGTATTACTTACTAAGTCTCCGCTACCCGTCCGTCCATAGATAGAATGGTACGGATCTAACCAATAAGTAAGTGTTACAAATATTTCATAAAACTTATTAAATGATATTATATTTTACACCGCGTCGCGTCGACCGCGGCAACCGTTACACAAAAATAATCCTTATAGCATGATTCAGTGTTCACATGCGACGGCGCGATGGCTTATTATCTGAACTGCTAAGCTATCAGGAGTTACACGTACTAATATGAGTTAACCATATATGCTGTAAAATATTTTTGTTGTAGAATATTTCCGTGATACATAATTTCTATGTAACTTTAACCATTACGGCTACAAACGCGACGGAAACTTAAAAAAGGGAGTTACTTCTCCCGTTTTCCCAATATTTCCCTTCACTACTCTGCCCTTATTATGTTTAGCGTGATGAAAAGTATCCTATAGCCTGCCCAATAGTATAAAGAATAATTGTACCAAGTTTTGTTAAAATCCCTCGAGTTGTTTTTGTTTCTATAAGGAACATGCAGACAGACAGACAAAAATTTCACTGATTGCATTTTTGGCATCAGTATCGATCACCTATCACCCCCTGGTAGTTATTTTGAAAATAAATCTAAGGTACAGAATTGACCTCTCTACAGATTTATTATAAGTATAGATTATTTATTTATATGTGTAAAGAATCGGGTTTGTTTCTTTCATTTTCTTTTCCCTCTCATATTTGTTCTAGGACTCTTGTGTCCTTGCTTCGCACTAACTGCAAGAATTCGCTGCACTGCCCTATGGTTGACTGTTAGAGAATGCCTTAAGGCATTAAGTCCACCATTTAGACTGTTTCGTGTAAAGAAGAGTTATATAAATAGATAAACAATGTGTGTGTAGACAGTCGTTGGGTCCGGGCACGTCCCGCGCGGTGGTGATGTCAGCGTGCCACGGCGCGGGCCGCGAGCAGCGCTGGCGCCGGCTCAGCTCGGGCCAGCTGCAGCACGTGCGCACCGCGCTCTGTCTGCGCGCGCCGCCCGACATCGGGGACGTGCAGGCTGACGTCTGCCGCCCCAACGCGCCCGACCAGATCTGGACCATCGACTACACCGAGGACAACAACTTCCACGCCAGTATGTACACGATCACTCATACTCACTACATTTGATCCCACTCACTACACTTGAAAACATTCACTACACTTGATCCCACTTACTACACTTGGTGTAGTGAATGTGATCAAGTGGTATTCACTTTACGCACAAGATATTCTAAAATTCGTCACACACTACTGCTTTTTGTTTTTATATAAAACTTTGTCCCACACTAAGATTTTCTCCGATGTCGTAGAAGCGTTTACAAACATACAAATCTACATACACATCACACCCTGATCAGAAACAACTATTTCTAAATCACACAAATTTGTTCCGTGCGGGCATCGAACCCGCGACACGTTGCACAGCAGGCCAATCGAAAATTCGAAACTCATTACATAACAAGTAAACACACAGACATACACTAACACTATATATCGGCCCACTAACTGCATGTGATGGCTGTCCACAGACGATGTCAGGTTCGGTGCCGAGCGAGAGAAGCGACTGAACAGGCTGCGCGGGCAGAGGTATGTATACACGTTAATCATGATTTAATGCGAGATATGATGGTCAGAGTTGTACACCCACAACATCCAGACTTACATGAGGTACCACCCCTTTGAGGAGTGAGGTCTGGCGAGTGCCATCACTCATCAAATCACAAGGTCTTTCCGCCGCCGATTGAGTTTTAGGCCGTGGTTTCCTTAGCTTCTGCAGATAATGCCAAAAGCCTTCTACTTATAGTTATTTAAGTGGCAGAGCCACGCCATAGTGAAACCTCGGCCTCACGTTAAACCGACGTGAAACAACCACAGCGTTGTGTTCACGGTATGACTGAGGTTACCACCATGTCCAACAATCTACCGTAATCCCTAAACCTTATACTTCCTCATAATCAAAGGTAACGCATTTGCAACTCCTTTGGTGTTGGGAAGTCCATGGGCGGCGCTGATTGCTTACCATCAGGTATCCGTCTGCTCAATTACCGCCGTATTACATAAAAAAGACAGCAAATTTACGAATTTGCCCAAAATAGTATCCCAATAGCTGTATGGTCTGTATTGTATGTACAGACGTATCTCCCGGTCCCTCCTGTCGTACTCGGAGCCCCGCTCCAACCTGCTGGAGGACGCGCAGCCCGGGGACTCCGCTAACGCCACCGTGCGACGACACGCGCATAAGGTACCGAATTAAGTCTCTTACAAATAAGTAAAAGGTTAAAACTTATTTACGAGCCAGTCACTAAAACAATTGAGCTTGCTATATAAATTGTGATCTAAGTTTTTCAATAAATTTATTTATTATTATCATAGTAATTATATTTACTAGTTTCGACAAGATAAATGCCATCAAATTTACAAGGACAAAGTAATACGTACATACTTTCTTTATTATTTTTTCCTGACATGATTTAATTTAACATTATTATTCCTATTTATTTTACTATTGTTATTAATCTGACATTTTGAGTAAATATTTTGATGATTGACATTTTAAATTTACAGTGACAGTATCAATCTTATTATGTGTAGTCCATCAATTTGTGAAAATAATAATATTTGCATGCCCATGTGACGGTAGAATGTGGAGAGACCTAATCTAATTATAAGAAAACATCAATGTATCAATCACCCATGTTTGCAAAGAAATATATGATTTATGATTTATACTGCTAGCCATCTTAACTTGGATGTGTTTGTAGTAATAGTAAACTTTTATGATTTTCCTCTCACTTATGATGTATGAAACTTATCTGTAACAGTATTTTTTATCAAATATCGAAGGACCCAAAATATTCCCCTGTGGAACTCCAACATTACCGTTTGAACATATCTGGAAAGCTTGGTGTAAAATTAGAGCAATCTATTTTCAGTGATATGACGTACGATTCCATTAACCTTTCTTTCGTATAAAAGACGACTCTGTACACGCATGTTGTATTGAAAAAAAGATAATGGTAGTAACTTCTATAAGTATAATCAAAAGCCTTAGACAGGTCTAAGAAAATTAGCTATAAATTAGTAATAGCTTGCCTGTCTCCTATTATATCTATATATTCTAGGTTTATATGTGTTCCTACAACATATTATTATTTATTATGATAAACAGACAGACGATATAACATTTCATGTCAATAATGCTTTTGCGGCTAGTTTTGATTACTCCATATCGTTGAAATATAACACACAATCCTTATATTAAAGACCATAAGCATGATTTTAGATAGACTGCTAGATACAATCCCATGTACAGGGCAAGCACCGCAAGCGACACGGACGCAAGCGTCGCGGCAAGAAGCGAACCAAGAACAAGTTCATACTGAAGATAATGCGGACCCTCATGAACGGCACGGAGGAACACCTGGAGATGGACATCCACTGCAAGCACCGACAGCTCTACCCCAACAACACCTTCGTGCGCGACCTCGTCACCATACTCAACGATAAGAACGTTAAGGTACTCAACTCTTTCTAACTCATTGACAGGGAAGTGTGGGAGAGCCATGCTTCGGCATGAATGGATCGGCTCGACCAAAGTGATACCATGGCCTCACAGCGTTGTGTTTCGCCGTGTGATTGAGTTTACTGGAGGCCCAATCCTTCCCCTCCCCCAATGCCTACATCTCCAAATCCCGAATCCCCAAAAGGTCGGCAACGCACTCGTAATTCTTCTATTGTGGCGGGTGTTCATGGACGGCGCTGATTGCTTACAATTAGGTAATCGGTCAGCTCGTTTGAAAAAAAATATTATGGAGCAATATCCACTCCATACCCCCAATTCACAAACCGCGGCCTCGGTCCAGAGCAGTAGAAGGAACAGGGTGTTTTTTAATCAGTAAGAGTCCGACACTCATTTTCACCTCATCCTGGGAAGTCATTTGATGACTATCTCCTCCGACACACTCCTGTCTAGCTTACCCAGTTTCTGTTAAACATTTAATCCTTTCTAATAATAATAATAATAATTGTTGTCTATTTGTCCGCAGGTGATAAACAACGGTCGCGTGTTCGAGCGCAACAAGGTGACGGAGGTCCAGCAACAGGCGCAGAAGGTCCTCAATAAGCTGGACATCGAGCCCTCCCCGCCCTCCCCATCCAGCTCGCCCCTCCGACACCAGCCCGGCTCCCATGGGGGGAACCTCGCGCAGATGCGGGAAGGGGTCAGTATACTATATATCTATAATAGATTTTCTTAATAGAATTATCATATTAATTTATTCAACTTGGTCGATTTTAACCCCCGACGGAAAAAGAGGGGAGTTATAAGTTTGACGTGTCTGTCTGTCTGTGGCATCCTGGAGCCTGACCGGTTGTATCGATTTTAATTTAGTGTTTTTTTTTGTATTTAGTACAAAATATATAATTTATCAAACTAACTTGAATTGTTCCATCACTGTGACTTACGTGCGAGAGTTCTTGGACATGTTTGATGAGAATCGGTTGAGCCGTTTAGAAGTTATGGGGGGGTAAGTGGGGAAGGGTAACTGAAGGTCTGCGAATATACTCGAGCGGGCTGTCAAATGAAAGCGCACTGAAAAGGAATGTTGATGACTTAATCGAGAGTGCTCTTAGCAATATAAAATAATAGAAAATACATATAAAAAGTATAAACCAAAATTTAAAAAAAACCCTACTTCTTAAAGGGATCTTAGTTACTTGTTTTTTTTTTAATTTTGGTCAAACGCCGGGTTTCTTCCGCTTTAAGATAATAAGCGATTACTGCTAAGCGGACTTCTATAGGACGAATCAGTTCCGAACTCGCATCACCAGAGTTGATTGCACGGTTGGTGCGGTGGCTGGGCAACTGGCTGCCGCGCAACGTGTCGCGGGTTCGATTCCCGCACGGAACAACTCTTTGTGTGGTCCACAAATTGTTATTCCGGGTCTGGGTGTGATGTGTATGTGAAATTGTATGTAACCGCACCCACGACACAGGAGAAAATCCTAATGTGCGGCAGAGAAAAAAAAAAGAAAAAATGACAGTTCAGCCCATACAGTATTGTGAAGTAATTTAACATCCTATTTTGTGCCCATATTCTTTGTTAAATGTACGATTTGATTGTTTGATAGAGGTTAAAGCAGGTAGCGATGTGTTTATATGTATAATCCCTGATACCTAAATCACCGATACTATATCCCCCCTCCCCCACAGCAACAAGTAAAGCTGCGCCTGAAGAAGAACAAGTCCCACCCCGCCGTGCAGTCCGTCATCACCCGCGAGCCCGCCAACGCCGCGCTCTCCCATGGCGGGGGCCCGCGGGGGACTCACGGGGGCCATCGAGGGGGGGACAACAAGATCATCATCGAGGACTTCGTGGAGGTGAAACGACTCACCGTCAGCCCTCCTCCCAAGGAGGGGATGGAGGGACAGTCACAGGTAGCCATCACTCCCCACTTGTATTGCAGTTCCTTGCTCATATAAAAATATTAGTGATGCACGCTGTGCTGTGTATAGAACATTTTTTCAACTACATAGTAAATACTCTTCGTGCTTACATATTATTTCCGTCGGCAGCACACCCACAAACGCAAACGCAAGAAGAACCGCGGCGCGTCCCGCTCGCGCCCGACCGCCTCCACCACCCCAGGCGCGACCTCCACCCCTCCCCCGCCGCCCCCCACTGCCATGGTCCTCCCGGAGCCTGAGTCCCTCCACGAGCGACTCGCCGACAGTCGCTCCGAGGAACATACTTCCAGCGACAAGGCCGACAATTCCGCGGAGACGCCACTGCTCAGCGATAGCATGGATCGCTCCGATGGCCGCGAGGACTGGCCCGTCGGTGAGTAACTATACGCCTTATTTACATGGGAATAAGGTTGATTATTGTTGAGTAACGTTGTCCCGGCGGCGCAGGCGAGTCTCGGTACCGCAGCAATCCGCAGCGACGCAGCAACGTTGACTCGCAGTCCGCCGAGCGCCCCGCCCCCAGCCAGCCCCGCCTCGAGCCCCACCTCGAGCCCCGCCTCGAGCCACGCCTCGAGCCCCGCCTCGAGCCCCGCCCCCCGCACCCACACACACACCAGGAGCCCGACATACAGTACACGAGGGACGATGTAAGTCAACCTACTACTAGCGAGGTCCAGACTAGACCAGACTGATTACCGTATTGTGAAATGATTTACTGGACCAAAATTCAAATCGTGATTTGAAATACAGCGTCATTCAATATCATATCATCAGGTTATAAATGCCCACTGCTGAGCAAAGGCCTCTTCTCACACGGAGAAGTTTTAAGCATTAATCACCACGCTTGCTCAATGCGAATTGGCGATTTCAAACTAATAATTAGAAATTGTAAGTCCAGGTTTCCTCACGATGTTTTCCTTCGCCGTATGTCAGTGGTGTGAATTATAGAAAGTACTTATAACTCGGAAAAAGTCACATTGGTCAGGTTTCGAATCCTCGTCCAACCGCGTGAAAGTAGCTATAGTCAGACTTTTAATTCGATTCCTGATTTGACATTGACCACTGTCATTTTGTGAAATAATGATACCACATATAACAGTGTAGTGATGAACACAAACATCGATAAACAATCAGTAAATCAGTTTCAGGAAGGCATTCAAAAAATTACGGCTACCGAATGGTCTAAATGTGTATCCCATGTTTTCAAAGAGGAGGAAAAAATTAGTAAGCTAGATATGTTAATTGGCAATAAATATCACAGACACAATTCATAATAAATGTTACATAGAGTAACGGCGATACCGATAGCGATGACGGCGACAATTTATAAAATGTCTGTTTTATTTGTCACGTTCCTTCATGATCACATTTTTAATTAATTTCACACACAATTACAAAAGAAAAGTCTCAGATCGTTAATTAATTGTCAAAACTAAATTATCGGTTCAGAAATATTTTATTTCCTGATAAACTTAGTTTACGAGAGTAAATTTATAAACGAGAGGAATCGATTCAGAAATATTCGATTTCCATATCGAATAATTTCGCAACGTCACTATTTATTACGTGTCATAACGTTGCAACACTGAAATTGTCAAATCTGGAATGGAATTAAAATTCCGAGTATAGTATACTATACGGCAAACCTGTAGGTCCGGGTAATATGTAGTGAGTTGATATCCCGCAGCCCCTGACGGCGTTCCAGCCGCCCGGAGGGGGGGACCAAGGGGGGGCGGCGCCCGTCAAGGTTGTCATGCGGAGCAACCTCACCTTCAACCTCGGAGACGACTTCTTCGCCTGGAAGAAACGCACCGCCGACGAACTCGTGTGAGTACCACTTCTTTTTATGGTATAGGTCGACAAACGAGCAGACGGATTACCTGATGGTAAGCAATCAGCGTTGACCATGGATATCCGCAACAACAAAACAGTTACCAGAGATTGGGGGAAGGGAAGGATTGAGCCTCCGGTAACCTCACTCACACGGCGAAATAAAACGCTATGGTTGTTTCACGCCAGTTTTCTGTAAGGCCGTGATATCACTCCGGTCGAGCCGAGCCATTCGTGTCGAAGCATGGCTCTCCCACACTTAACTACCTCTACCTCGCCGTCCTACCGCTATACTCACGCCATCTTATTGCACAGGAACGACTTCCTCGGCGAGCTCGCCATACCATCGAGCAACAGCTCGCAGGCGACGCGCCCCTCTAGCGGCCAGCACTCCTCCTCGTCCTCCGACAGCAGCGGCGACTGACTACCGTGACCTCCTCACGACTCACTACACAGCAACGTTCCTTGTCGCGCGGACGACATGTTACCTAATACTACTGACGATGATAGAATGTCATCCGTTTGTCTATTAGCTCGGAACCAATAACCACATTACGCCATCGTTCTATGAAGTTGCCGTTTCCGTATGAAAGTGCCGTTTCCCTATAAAAGTGCCGTTTAGCTTTGAAAGTGCCGTTGGCCTATGAAAGTGCTTTTAAGAAACTGCAACTTTATAGGGTCTAAAATAATTTATTCGTATAAAATATTTTTTGACGTCCAGTAACTTGTCGTGTTATATACAGGGTGTGTAACGTGACATGTTATATACAGGGTGCTGCATTTATTGATTGTGTAAGTTTATCTCGTAAAAAACAAGTGTCGCTAGTGTCGATAGCCAAATGTTAATATTTCCGTGTATTAGTATAGTTTGTAGATATAGTGGGGATGTTTTCTTCAGTAATTTAAACCAGATGATGTAGCTAAGATACTTTGACTTTTATTGCCTTAGACTTAAAGTCAATTTTTCAATGGCACCGTGAGAAACACATATTACCTTTCTATTATTGTTTATTTAGCTTCCATCACTTAAACATACATCTTACAAGGTAAGTAATCTCCTTATTAACCGACTTGAAGAAAAAGGAGGTTCCCAATTTCGATAGTACGTCAAAGTCAAAATAATTTATTCCAACTAAACCATAAATAGGTACTTTTGAACCGTCAAAATAGAATAGTAGTCTGTCAGTCTGTTCGTCAGTGAAGCTAGGTGCTCGTAGGATGATAAGTTTCATTGATCCAGGTTTTGGTATTTCCTTATCTGGTTAAAATTACTCGAAGTTTTATATTTTAATTGTAATAATTATTTCATTATATTAAACTTGCATTTAAATAGATATTACTTGTAATAAGGTTCCGTCCATACGCCCCCGTTAAGGTGTGTTTATATATCATTATGAAAACTATAGAGGCGCTAGACATAAAATAAGTTTATACTAGACATAGATTTCAAATAATATGTAAATATTACTCTTGAAAATTTTCAAGATAACTTGACTAATTTCGAACCATAAAAGGTCTCATAATCACGTGCTTGAAAACAATCGAGGATGTCTCGGACATTCTGTATAAGTGAGACATATTTTTAATGAGATGTTGTTATGGTTACAACTGTCGCCCAATAGATGGCGGTGTAATAGAATACAGATTATACATGTAAAATATTTATCGTATCGTATTACAGTAAGTATTATTTTATTTATGTTAAAATTTTAATTTAAGTTTGCCAATTGTATTATTGTTAGTTATATGTTTGGACTTACAAAACAAATGGTTTGAATTCAGATTGGAGAGATTGGATCGAGATTTTCTGTCGGAAACTGAGATTTGATTCCCCAGTTTTGGATTGAAATTCGGTCTTGATATCGGCCATATTGGGGTAACGTTAGTACCAGGTCTGGTCTAATTTGGATGATGACAGTGTTTGCAAATTAAGAATTTATTGAGTCCGTCAGTTAAGTAATGTTAAAAATTTTGGACGCCTATTTTTTACTATAATTATATAAAAGGAATTTGTTTGGAGGTGGGAGCGTCATAGCTCATCGCTATGTTATAAGATATTTCAAAGAAATGAATCGTTGAAATTGTTTGATTCTGTATTAAAACAAAAAAATATTTATCTAATGTGGTCTTTGAAAAAATAGTATCGTTATCCTTATTTTAGCTCGAGTGTCTATATATATATATTTTTTTTGTATTTAAGTAACATTCTGTATATTTACGATATAATGTTTCAGTTCTGTTTGAACTTGGGATTTGTTACAATTATCAATATTATAAACAAAATCTTCATACATTAATTAATACTTCCTCCTTCCTTCCTCTTCAATCACTCTATCAATAAAAAAAAACCGCATCAAAATCCGTTGAGTAGTTTTTAAAGATTTAAGCGTACATAGGGATATAGGGACAGAGAAAGCGACTTTGTTTTATACTATGTAGTGATATTTACTATGACATATCATATTCGCTCAAGAATTGTAAGTAGTAAGCAGGGTGGCCCTGGATGATCCGAAATTGTATATTTACAATATTAACACGTGGAAAGTCAAGGAAAAAGCTAGTAGAGGATTTGCCCTCCACAATAATCTGTCGGCGTCCAAAGTGGTTGGTAGTAAAAGAGCATACTGATTACCTGATGGTAAGCAATCAGCGCCGCCCATGGACACTTGTCATACCAAAGGAGTTACTACAAGTGCGTTGCTGGCCTTTTGTTAGTGATAAGGATTTCAGGGTAGCGGATTTGGGGATAGAGAATGGGGGAGGGGAAGTATTGGGTCAACAGCGTTGTGTTTCGCCGCGTGAGTGAGGCTCCTGGAGACCCAATTCTTCCCTTCATTTTTGCCTCTCTAATCCTTAGATACCCGAAACCTTTATCCCCAAAATATCGGCAATGCACTCCGTAACTCCTTTGGTGTTCCGGGAGGCGCCGGCTGCTTACCATCAAGTAATCCGTCTGCTCGTTTGCCGATACATCTCATATATAAACACAAATCTAAATCTGTCACCTCTGTCTTCAGAGAGTATATCGTATCAGTCAGGGCCTGTAAAACTAAGTCGACGCTCAACCACACGTTAGCATAATATTATTATAATATAATTTAAACACGTCTGTTTGTCCGTCCATTCATCTAATTCCTTGCTACAGTGCGAGTCTCAAGTGTGATCTTGTTAAGGGTAGCTCGCCGCCCGACCAGACCCGAGTTCCGTGTGCGCCTTAAAGACGCAATAGACCACCACAAACGGGGGCACTATAGGGCTGATTTTCAGCCGGGGTAAGCGCAATGAGACACCGCGTACTCGGCCCAGAGCAGGAGAAGGAACAGGGAGGTTTTTAGTCATTAAGAGTCTGACACTCCCTCCCGCCCTGCCCTGGGTGGGAGAAGTAATTTGATGATAAAAAGAGTGTAGCCTTGTAGCGTAATGATTGTACAGTCAAAGGGTGGTAGCAAGGTTAAGTGTCCGGGCGACACACATGGGACTCGCAGCTGTATACGTAGTATAATGTTGTAAGCTAATATTGTCTTCATTTTCGGATATGTCGTCGCCGCGGTGTGTTTAAGCTAATTTAAGAGAAATGAGTATTAATTGACACAATTTAATAACGTCATACAATATATTGATTATTATTATTATTTTTGATATTAATTGTTATTACATTGAATTGTATTCCATCTCTATTGTTTTAAGAAACCTACTTCCATTCATTCACACAAATTTTCACAATTATAATATTATAGTAGAATTGATAATTTCATCCTTCGATACGCCATCGTTGTCTGGTCGCTACAAGAGCTCTCGCGGTGACGATATATCCGTAGAGTTAGTGTAAAGAGGGGCCAAATTATTGTAAATGTTAATGTTTAGTATTATTCAAGTAAGCGGTCACTCGCCGCCAGGACTAGCAGCTAGCGCTGGAAGCTAGTGGCGTGACAAAATGTTCCTGTACTTAATTACTATTTCACTATATAAATATTCTAATGTAAAAATGGCTGCCGTTATTTTCTCATTAGATTCGCCGTGGTTTGTAGTGTAACGGGATGGGTTTTAGTCAGTAAGGGTCTGACACTTCCCATCGATAATTTTCTTACCTCAAAAAAAGCTACCAAAAAATCAATGTTATATAGTTTCAACACTACATAATTTGTTATCAACGCCATCTAGTGAGAAAATATCGGTAAGTGGTTCTAATTGTTTAAGCGTGTGTGTACCGGGGAATGTTTTGTTACGAAGGAGTTTAATTAAGAAATTGTTACCGTTGTTGTAACATTTCTCAGGGAACTTTGTTATTATTTAGAATATTTGATGTAATGTACGCTGTGGACAGTGCGCCCCGCATCATACGCCGCGGTAGGACTAGAAATTGGTAGATTAAAAAAACATTGCAGAAGGTCAAAAATGCAATTACACTGTACCAATTTTAAGCTGACTAAAATTTCTTTGTAGTATTAGTACAATGGTTCACAGCCAGTTTATTCAATAATTTAGATTCTATGCTATAAAATAAACTGGCCGTGAACCATTGAACTTTTACTACAAAGAAATTTTAGTCATTTTAAAATTGGTAGAGTGTAATTGCATTTTTCAACCCTGACTGTACTTAAGAAGATTTCTTCTGTTCTTTTCTTTCTTTCTTTTGGAATGTACTTTATTTTGCATTTATTTAGTTTACGGCTATTTTTCTTAACAAATTACTCAATTGATTATTTATAGCCTACCTACACAAAATGTCCTGAAAACTGTAATTTATTTATTTTTGTTCTCTATAACTAATTGTAAACTTATTATACTTTATAAATTCAAAACATAAAACTTTATTTAACAAAATCTAATCCATACTTATTTTCTTTGATATTTTTGTTTCTATTGTGTTTTTAAAATGTCCAAAGTACTGGCAATACTAAGTATAGCGCTGTATGCGCACGCGCACTGTCGCCGCGTCACTTGTATCTCAACGAGTCGTTTGTAAGATGAGTTTAGTTTGTGTTTGTACAGTGAACTATTTGTAAGCAATAAATAAATACACTATGTTTGTTTCCATAACTCACTTTTATTTTTTATTTTTCCTTATAAAATATAATGTTCCTCCGCATTAGGCTGTGTCTTGGGTTCGTTTACAAATATATAATTTCACATACACACGCAGCCCAGATCACAAACAGTTCGTGAATCAAAGAGTTGTTCCGTGCGGGAATCAAGCCCGTCCGACCACGTCAACTGGTCAACCAAGAAAATAAGCGATGTATACCGTATCGAACGTACAAAGGCAAATCTGTAAAAGAGTTTCAAATCTTATCAGGTACTATTTTAATCTTGGCTATCTTATTTCAGTGAGTGTGGATTGCATAGTTTAGAGGTATGACAGAACAGGGTGGAAAGTTCTTCATCCTCCATTGAAAAGGGAGGATCTGGTGAGCTACTGCCCGATGGTTGTTGTCGGGTTTTATATATCTAGGTTCTTATTGCGATGAGAACTCTTATACCGCGATGTAGAATCTATTACGCCATCTGTTGATTGTTCTCCATCTATGTGATTCGTTACACTTAGTTTCAAGTCCTTTGAAATAAGTTTAGAGAGTTTTCTGAACAAAAACTCCATCGGTATTGCTGGCGTTCATGGGCAAGGTCACGTGCCGCCGTTTACAACGAGGCTTGAGGGAGACGCAAGACTTCGTAGCGATGTGCCGTTACAGGCGTCGCATCATGAGAACCCGGTGTCTTACAGGTGCCGAGGGTGACCACCCAAGTAGGTTTAGTGATCTAGAAATAAATATTCCATACTCTCTAACCTTTATGCTATGCGTATTTTAAAGGTTTCACACCGCAATAAAAAACAAAGTTTTGGTGTGCGGTGTCCACCACCAGTCAGGTCAACCGTCTGTGGGGGTTCATCAAAGACCACAACAGGCCCTTTTGAACGTCAAGCAAAAAAGATATCATAAGGTTTAACTTTATATGTGTCAGTCTGTCCGTCTGCCCTCTAGTGAAGCTATTAGCTCGTTCCAAAT